AAGCTTAGATGTGATTGTTTGTTAGTATCGGACAATATTTGGCGAATAGGGCGAAGCAGTGGCGCAGTAGGTAGTGCTGTCACCTCACAGCAAGAGGGTCGCTGGTTCGAATCTCGGCTCAGTTGGCGTTTCTGTGTGGAGTTTGCATGTTCTCCCTGCCTTCGCGTGGGTTTCCTCCAGGTGCTCCGGTTTCCCCCACAGTCCAAACACACGCGCTATAGTGGAACTGATGAACTAAATTGGCCGTAGTGTATGAGTGTGTGTGTGAATGAGTGTGTGGATGTTTCCCCGAGATGGGTTGCGGCTTTTAAGGGCATCCGCTGCGTAAAAACTTGCTGGATAAGTTGGCGGTTCATTCCGCTGTGGCGACCCCGGATAAATAAAGGTACTAAGCCGACAAGAAAATGAAATGAGAAAATAAATAAATGTGTCCTGATTGATTTCTTTGCGATGCATATTAGTAAGCAAAAATGGGCATCAAATTAATGGTAATGAATCTTTCTCAAACTAAATGATGTTTAACAGAGCAAGGAAATGTTCACAGTATGTCTGATAACATTTTTTCTTCTGGAGAAAGTCTCATTTATTCATTCATTTTCTTGTTGACTTTAGTCTTATTTGTTTTATTTCAGCTAGATTTAAAGCAGTGTTTTTATTTTTAAACACTATTTAGAGAAAGAGAAAGCAGGCAGCAGCTTCATTATTGCAAAAAATTTAATATATGTTCAAAAAGACTGTCAAACAGGGTAGGGCTAACGTTAATTAACTTTAATTAACTTCCTAACAGATGAGAAAATACAATATGCATATATTTAAAATATATTATCATCACAACATATTGCATTAATGAATTTTGCCATATTTTGAATTTCGTGTGTTTGGACTGACAAAATTTGCGATCATGTGCATGCTTTTTGCAGTAACAAAAATGATGACTGTCTTGTCAAGTTGCTTACTAGATGAATTTTTTGCAGCAAAAAATAAAACCACAGAAAACATTCGATATGCAATTTTTATTTTATATATATATATATATATATATATATATGTAATATTTTTTATTTATTTTTTTTTTATACAGTTGAAGTCAGAATTATTAGCCCCTTTGATTTTTTTTTTCTTTATTAAATATTTCCCAAATTATGTTTAACAGAGCAAGGAAATTTTCACAGTATGTCTGATAATATTTTTTCTTCTGGAGAAAGTCTTATTTGTTTTATTTCGGCTAGAATAAAAGCAGTTTTTAATTTTTTAAACACCATATTAAGGTCAATATTATTAGCCCCTTTTTTATTAGCGCAATTTTCTTGATAGTCTACAGAACAAACCATCATTATGCAATAACTTGAATATATATATATATATTTTAGTGCTGGGCAAAGATTAATCACATCTAAAAATAAAAGTTTGTTTTGACAATATATGTGTGTGTGTATTCTTAGCTGTATGCACTATTTATTACGTAGGCTACTTGTTACACACATCATTGCACATCATCTTAGTAAGCAACTTGACAAAACTGTCATTATTTTTTTTTTACTGCAAAAAGCATGCTCATGATTCTAGCTTATCCAGCACAAAATAATTCATAAAATGTCACCAAAATGCTGTATTTAAACTTAATCAAATACAAAATGTGAGGAAAAAATGCCCAAAAAAAGTCCACTTTTAGAGAAAACGGACCCTCTTTCACTAAGCTGGCTACGGGCCTGCATACACTGATATCACTATTACGACACTTCTATATATTGTGCAGCTCTATTTTAAAACACAGTGATTTTAATATGACTTCACTCGTCTGTTTGTCTCCTCAGTATTTGTCCACGTCGCCATATGCAGAACCTCCTCATTTTGTGCACCACATTAAATCCACCATCCAGTTTCTGCTGGAGCACCCGACTGCAGACGCTCTGTTTCCAGACGATCAGCCGCAGTTTTACAGCCGCATGGAGGACGGCCGCTGGAAGAGAGTCTGAAACCCACAGAAAAACACAACACTAATAAAGGCCTTCAACATCTGCACTCACAGCAGAAGCTCCGTCACACACACCGCTGAAAGATTACACTCAGAAAAGAGAACAGAGACTTCTTAAAGCAACACTCCACCTTTAAAAAAAAAAAAGTTTTGCTAGTCTCCCAGAGTTACACAGTTGACTGGGACCAGTTTTTAATTCAGCATATTTCTTAGTCACTTGTAATAAAACTACAGAAGAGTCCAGCTTTAAATAGGAAAACTGTAAAAAAAAATAATAATAAAAAAATAATGCTAACGGTCTAATCCGATTCAATTCATTATGCTAAGCTAAGCTAAAAGTGCCAGTATGAGAAATCTGGTGAATGGTTGCAAAAGTGGTTCCAGTCCACTGTTTAGCTCTAGGAGACTTGTAAAATGAGAATTTATTTTAAAAGGTGGAGTGTTCCTTTAATAACCAGAGGTGAAAATCTGATGCTGCTTTCGCTCAAACTCTCCTCATTGATGTATTGATTACAGATTTAAACCTGGCAGCCCTTACGTGAAAACACGAGCCTATGACCTGTTTATTTGCTTTCATTTTTATGTCATGTTTGTTGTGTGTTTATGCTTATGTGTACTTTTTTTAAACTAATAGCTTACTGTTTTATTTCTTTATAACCTTTATTTGATTTGCTAATAAAAATAATGTTCCATTAATGTATTTAATAACATGAATGATTATGAACAGCGATGCATTTGTTGCAGCATTTGTTCATCTTTGCTAATGTTAGTTACTGGTAGTGCAGTTATGGTTAGTTCTCACCGAGCATGAACTAATGTTAGCTTGATGTACAGTTTTAATGATGCATTCAATTGTTATTAAATGCATTTTATTTTGATAGTAGCTAATATTTAATTATGGTTAATAAATGCTGTGCAAGATTGTTCACACTTAATGTTAGTAAATATATGAACTAATGGAGCATTATTTTAAAGTGTTACCCATTTTCTCACTAAACAGTCATTTGTGAATGTGTAAATACAGGATGTTGTAATATTTTGCAGGTGAATAAGAGAATTAAAAATATATTATCAAACGAACATGCTTGCAACCAATCTGTAATCCTATTTTGTGATTATTATTATTAATATTAATCAAGCAAAATCACTTATGCACACTTATTGCAGAAAATGACAGCTTTGAAGGGAGAGCTGCAGGAAAAATGTGAATAATTGTTCACCATATTCTCTTTTTAACTGCAGAAAGATTTCTGGGTGTTGTTTATTTGATAATAGATGGAAAATCCAACACAAATCTTGTTTCCATGATAATATTCTGGAAATATTTAGGCTGAATTTTCCGTAAAATGTTTCTTTGAATCTTGTGGACTGTAAGAAAATAATAATTTACATGTGCTTTTACTCAAGATAATAGTGAAAGGATTCAGAAACCCTTATTAACAGAAATATGGGGTGTATGAACATGTAAAAAGTATTAAATAACATGTTTTTCTAAATTACTTTTTAAATAAAATTTTTGTAGCAAATATAAAACTACAGAAAATGTTCTATATGCAATTTTATATTTTTATTATTTTTACAAATATTTTATTATATATATATATATATCTATTTTTTTTTTTTTTTCGGTTTCGGATGCGATGTTAAACCGAGGTCCTGCCTCTCTGTGGTCACTAAAAATCCCATGATGTCCTTCAAAAAAAAAAAAAAAAAAACAGTAGGGGTTTAACCCCCGCATCCTGGCCAAATTTGCCCACTGGCCTCTATCTGTTATGGCCTCCTAACCCTCCCCATATCATAATTGGTCTCCTCTCCACCAATCAGCTGGTGTGTGGTGTGCGGTCTGGCACACTGGTGGTGGATGAGGAGATGCCCCTCTATGTGTAAAGTGCTTTGAGTGCCCAGAAAAGTGCTATATAAATGTAAGGAATTATTATTTTGTTTTATTTAAAACAATTGTGCTGGCAAAGATAAATCTCATCCAAAAATAAAAGTTTTATATTTAATATATAACATATATTCATTATATGTGTGTATTTATATATTTATGTATAAGTGATACCAACCTACAAACAAAACTATTGTTGTGTAGAAATTTCAATTTATTTATCATTTACTCATTTTATTTCATTTATTTTCCTTCAGCGTAATCCCTTTATTCATCAAGGGCCACCACAGCAGAATGAACCGGCAACTATTCACCCGGAGGAAACCCACGCCAACACGAGAAGAACATGCAAACTCCACACAGAAATGCCAACTGGCCCAGCCGGGACTCGAACCAGCGACCTTCTTGCTGTGAGGCGATGCTAACCACTGAGCCACCGTGCTGCTACAAATATTTCATATCTTAACGTAAATAAAAAATAAAATTGCTTTCAACTATATGCATGCATGTGTGCATTTATATAAAAATAATAAACACGGCACACACACACACACATAGCCTATATTCTGTCAAAACAAACTTATTTTGGATGCGATTCATTTTTGCTCAGCGCTATCTTTTGTTTAATAATGATCATTTTGGGGTGTTGTCCTGCAGTCTGAGGTGTTGTATATGAAGCTCGTGCGAGATCTTGTTAAACCAGTTATTGCACTTTCCAAACGAAACCAAAGCACTGGGGCAAATTACAACAAACTAGCGAGGTAGAGACCGGCTGACACACACTTGAAGCTTTTAAACACAGATTTGCTTTCTTTAGACCGTATAATTCAATGCTCTTTGTGTTGACAGCATAAGCAAGTTTCACAAAGTAAGTTCTTAATCCTCAAGGGTGTAACGTTAAGGTAAGTCGTGATTTCTCATCCTAACCCACATGAAAACTACTGTAGTCATTTAATATAAATATCATAGTGTTTTTGAACTACTTTAATCTGTTGTGATGATTATTGTTATGGCAACACAACAACTATAATAATGCAAATCACCCACTTTTCTACAGCTATATTGTACTAAACCACAGTTTACTGAAGTAAAAAAATAAGTATACCACAGTATTTATTATGGTATATCACTAAGGTTATGCTGGAACATTAACAATGTGTTGTGATGTATACAGTATAATACACTTTACTATGGTTCAAAAACACTACAGTATAAGCTATAAAATAAATGACTATAGTATTGTTTCATTAAAATAGTAGTTTCACTTACAATATGATTTTATTTGCTTGCATTATTTAGCTACAATAGTTAACGTGAACTATTTCTACAGCTTACGCTTTTCTATATGCCAGAACAACCCACATGAAAAATACTGTAGTAAACACTGGTGTTTCTGAACCACACTATAGTAAAGTTCTTCAATGTCTATGTATGATACAGTTATTCTGCCTCTCCGAATTTATATCTGTTTAATTTATTTACAATATTTAAGGCGAGCACATTTTATGTACTAATTAAATTACCTAAATAATCATTTGCTCTTTATCAGAGTAAAAGTAATTTAATTACAGTAACGTTGTGTCCTGACACTGATGTTAACACATGGCACCTTATTGTGAAATGTTCCCAAAAACACTGCACACTGTAAAAACAATATGCATTGGATTTACTCAATTTTCTTTAAGGTAAGGGGTTGCAAACATTTGATATGGGCTGAAATGTCTCATGGAGGTTGGGGAGAGTACCTCCTGACTGGGCAACTGAGATGGTGCTTCCCATTTTTAAGAAGGGGGACCGGAGGGTGAGCTCCAACTATAGGGGATCACACTCCTCAACCTCCCAGGGAAAGTCAATGCCAGGGTACAGGAGTGGAGGATCTGGCTGATGGTTGAACCTAGGATCCAGGAGGAACAATGGGGTTTTCATCTGGGCCGTGGTACACTGGTACTCACCAGGGTGCTCGAGGGTTCATGGGAGTATGCCCAACCAGTCCACATGTGTGTTGTGGACTTGGAGAAGGCATTCGACCGTGTCTCTCAGGCATTCTGTGGAGGGTGCTGTGGGAGTATGGGCTCAGAGGCGCTCTGTTAAGGGCCGTCTCATCCCTGAACAGAGTGGGAGTCTGGTTCGCATTGCCGGCAATAAGTCAGACTTGTGTCCAGTGCATGTTGGACTCCGGCAGGGCTGCCCCTTGTCACCTATTCTGATCATAATTTTTATGGACAGAATTTTAAAGTGCAGCCTAAGGATGGAGGGGGTCTGGTTCGGGCACCACAGGATCTCACCTTTGTTATTCGCAGATGATGTTGTTCTGTTGGCTTCTTGAACATGGACCTTCAGTATGCACTGGGGCGGTTTGCTGCTCAGTGTGACGCGGATGGGATGAGAATCAGCACTTCCAAGTTCGAGGCCATGGTGCTCCACCGGAAAAAGGTGGTTTGCCATCTCCAGGTTGGAGAAAAATCCTTACTCCAAGTGGAGGAGTTTAAGTATCCTTGGGTTTAGTTCACGAGTGAGGGAAGGATGGAGCATGAGATTGACAGGTGGATTGGTGCAGCAGTAATGCAGTCAATGTACCGGTCCGCTGTGCTAAAGACAGAGCTGAGCTGAAAGGCAAAGCTCTCGATTTCTTGGTCAATCTACGTTACGTTCCTACTCTCACCTATGCTCATGAGCTATAGGTCATGACAGAAAGGACAAGATCTCGGATACAAGCGGCCGAAATGAGTTTCCTTTGAAGGGTGGCAGGGCAGGGCACACCCTTATGGATAGGGTGAGGAGCTCTGACACCCGCGAGGAGCTTAGAGTAGAGCCGCTGCTCCTCCACATCGAGAGAAGTCAGCTGAGGATGCTCAGGCATCTGTTTCGGATGTCTCCTGGACGCCTACCTAGGGAGGTGTTCCAGGCATGTCCCACCAGGAAGAGGCCTCGGTAAAGACCCAGGACACACTGGAGTGACTATGTCTCTCGGCTGGCCTAGGAACGCCTCGAGATCCCCCTGGAGAAGCTGTAGGAAATGTCTGGGGAGAGGGAAGTCTGGAGTTCTCTCCTAAGACTGCTGGCCCTGCGACCCGGCCCGAGATAAGCGGATGAAAATGATGATGATGATGATGATGATGAATTTAAACAAATTATTCTGAACATTACTACATTTAATGTTTGTTTAAATTCAGCCCATATAATTTTTTTGCAAGCACTTACCTTAAAAAATTGAGTAAATCCAATGAATGATTTTTTTCTGTCTCTTTACAAATAATGTACTGTACAATATAAAAATATGTAATAATAATAATGTTTTTTTGTTTCAGAATCTCTATTGGTTGGAGAAAGGAGCAGGCGCATCTGCTGTAACACTAAACCATGGCTGCCGGATTCTCATCAAAAACAACACGTAGGTCACATTTACACTGTGCTAAATGCAGGCGTCCACACCGTTTGTTCATGTTGTCCTGACACTAATTAAATTGACTTAACAAATTCAAGTGTATTGAACATAAAACAATTAATTTGTCCCCCCAAAAAACTCAATAATTATGTTGCTTCAGCTCATTTTCATTCAAGTAGTTTAAACAAACAGTAAAATCATTTTCGGAGTGTTTTTTATTAGGAATCCAGCAATATATATATATATAAACAATAAACTTCTGCCAATTCCGATAGCGATATTGGTCAATTTGAGCAATTCCAGCAATATGGATGTGACATCTGGAGTAAAAAGAGTAAAAAAAGCAAGTCTATCCATAATTCATATAAAAAAATAGCTTACCGTCGAGCCTTCTTGTAGCTTTAATTTTTTTACTTGTTGCTTCATTTTTTTAACCTGTAGCTTCATTTTTTTACTTGTAGCTTCATTATTTTACTTGTAGCTTAATTTTTTTTACTTGTAGCTTCATTTTTTACTTGTAGCTTCATTTTTTTTACTTGTAGCTTCATTTTTTTACTTGTAGCTTATTTTTTTTACTTGTAGCTTCATTATTTTACTTGTAGCTTCATTTTTTTACTTGTAGCTTATTTTTTTTTACTTGTAGCTTCATTATTTTACTTGTAGCTTCATTATTTTACTTGTAGCTTCATTTTTTACTTATAGCTTCATTTTTTTACTTGTAGCTTATTTTTTTACTTGTAGCTTCATTATTTTACTTGTAGCTTCATTTTTTTACTTGTAGCTTCATTATTTTACTTGTAGCTTCATTATTTTACTTGTAGCTTCATTTTTTACTTATAGCTTCATTTTTTTACTTGTAGCTTATTTTTTTTACTTGTAGCTTCATTTTTTTACTTGTAGCTTATTTTTTTACTTGTAGCTTCATTATTTTACTTGTAGCTTCATTATTTTACTTATAGCTTCATTTTTTTACTTGTAGCTTCATTTTTTTTACTTGTAGCTTCATGTTTTTACTTGTAGCTTCATTTTTTTATTTACTTGTAGCTTCATTTTTTTTTACTTGTAGCTTAATTTTATTTATTTTTATTTTTTTTACTTGTAGCTTAATTTTATTTAATTTTATTTTTTTTTACTTGTAGCTTAATTTTATTTTTTAAAATTTTTTTTTTACTTGTAGCTTCAGTTGCGCTCTTCAGAAACCTGTGGGAGACGTCCGGGATGCTACGTCCATATATTTTACAGTCTATGATTGTGATGCAGTTCCTATAAAAACAGAATACTAAATGAGAAAACAGTGGGCGTGGCTTGTTTTTTCTACTGTGAACCGATTGGATGTAGTAAAGAAGGTGTGTCATTCGGAAAGATGGGGAAAAGAGTTTGGGGGGGAGTTAATACAACCTAACAGACTCCTCCTCCTCACCATGTCTGTTTGTTGTCAAAACTGACTGCTGGAGGGGCGTGGTTAAGTATGTTAGCCACGCCCATTACCTTAGACAGACCTAATCTGAGTATTTAAATGAAAACAAACAGGAAGTGCGTTTTCAGATTTCAGTTAAAGATTATAAGGCAAGCTATTGTTATTTTCCTAATGACATGCACTGATGAATTATTCATCACAAAACTAGCAACTTGAGCTGACAAAATCAATACAATTAATTCTGATTTCATGTGTACTTTAAAGGCGATTCTCCACATCTGTCAGAGATCAGAGTTGTGCTGCTGGGAAATAATGACTGTGACAGGAGAAGAGTGGTCCGATCTGTCCTGGGAGATCTTACAGGAGAGTCTGTGGGTCAGTGCACGGTATATGATGGAGAAGAGTCTCGTCGGAGGATCAGGGTTGTGGACGCTCCTGGATGGAACTCAAACACACCACAAAGCAAGCTCAGAGAATCCATTGAAAGAAGCGCGATGCTGTGTGCTCCGGGCCCTCACGCTCTGCTCCTGGTCCTTCCTGTGCGGAGGAATGAAGACATGTCAGCAGGAGACATTAAATCAGGGATGAAGCTGGTGGAGATGCTGTCCGAGAGAGCCTGGAGACACACGATTGTCGTTTTTGCTTGCGATGAAGGAACGGGAGGCTTTAGTTGCTCTCAGAAAGCCAAGATCGTGCTGGAAAAGTGCAAAGGCAGGGGTTTTTATCTCCAGAGGCAGGGCGGGATCGCTCAGCTGTTCACCCAGATTGAAGACCTCGTGCGGGACAACGGGGAAGATGATGTATTTTTACCACAGGCGTACCATGAGCTGTTCAGGAGGAAGACTGAAGGTTTGCTGCACAGGCGAGGAAATCTGAGAAAAAAGCCTGTTCATTGTGAGTATTCTTCATTGTTCTTTCATTATTGATTGTACCAGATCTATTAATCAGAAATGTAATGCTTATGCAGCAAAAGTTTGAGTGGTCAGCTTAACGGGGAGCTATTGTGCTCATTTTTACAAGATGTAAAATAAGTCTTCAGTGTCTCTAGTGTGTGTGTGTGTGTGTGTGTGAAGTTTCAGCTCTAAATAGCACACAGATAATGTTTTATAACTCTCTGAAACTGAGCTTTGATCCTAATTGTGGTGTTTTGGTGACTGTCACTTTAAATTTAAATGAGATTGAAAAAGGGCGGAGCTACAAATGCCTGTGTGTCAGCATAGTGGCAGATTCAAAACTCTAATGGGCAGACGGCTGCTTCTCACTCAGGTGTTTATGCTAATGAGGGAGAGTTTGTCACTAGTGGGCGGGGCTTAATTTCCTCCTCTGATGAGACGTATAAAGGGAGAATGTCAATCAAAGTGCTTCTGTTTTTATCAAGTCTGATTATAACAACTAAAATTAATACATGTTTACCATTTGAAGCTGGATGTATGCACACACTGCTGACACACAACTGTGTTTAAACCACTTATAAATGTGATATTTGAATAACATGTGCCCTATAAAACCAGTCATCTGCATATATCACTGCAATTATTTTAATTATGTAGGATCACAAGCTGCTATATATAAACTACATATTAATGCAAATTTAAATATACAGGTGAAGTCTTTAAATATATTTTTCCCAAGTGCAATTTAATGGAAAGATTTCTAAACGTAATAGATTTGCCATGATTACCCTGCTGAAAAATCCAGCTTAAACCAGCCTAAGCTGGTTGGCTGGTTTTAGCTGGTTGACCAGGCTGGTTTTAGAGGGGTTTTGGCCATTTCCAGGCTGGTTTCCAGCCATTTCCAGCCTGGTCTTAGCTAGTCAGGCTGGGAGATGACCAGCTAAAACCAGCTTGACCAGCCTAGCCAGGCTGGGAGCCCAGCCAAAACCAGCTATGTCCAGCTTAAACTAGGCTGGTCCAGCTGGTTTTAGCTGGTCATTTTCCAGCCTGACCAGCTAAGACCAGGCTGGAAATGGCTGGAAACCAGCCTGGAAGTGGCCAAAACCCCTCTAAAACCAGCCTGGTCAACCAGCTAAAACCAGCCAACCAGCCTAGGCTGGTTTAAGCTGGATTTTTCAGCAGGGTACTGAAGGGGGCGACGCAGTGGCGCAGTGGGTAGCACGTTCGCCACACAGCAAGAAGGTTGCTGGGTTGCTGGTTCGAGCCTCGGCTCAGTTGGCGTTTCTGTGTGGAGTTTGCATGTTCTCCCTGCATTCATGTGGGTTTCTGGGTGCTCTGGTTTCCCCCACAGTCCAAAGACATGCGGTACAGGCGAATTGGGTAGGCTAAATTGTCCGTAATGTGTGTGTGGATGTTTCCCAGAGATGGGTTGCGGCTGGAAGGGCATCCGCTGCGTAAAACTTGCTGAATAAGTCGTCGGTTCATTCCGCAGTGGCGACCCCGGATTAATAAGCCGACAAGAAAATGAATGAATGATGATTTCAGTATATAATATTTTACCAGATACTTATATTCAGCTTAAAGTGACATGTAACGGCTTAACTAGCCTAATTGGGTTAACTTGGAGATTCAAGATAATTAGAAATGTTATTAGACAACAGTGATTTATTCTGTAGCCAGTCTAAAAAATAATAATAATCTTAAGGGGGCTAATGATATTGACCTTAAAAAGTGTTTATTAAAAATAAGAACTGCTTTATTCCAGCTGAAGTAAAACAAATAAGGCTTTCCACGGAAGAACAAATATTATAGGAAATACTCTAAACAACATGGCTTGAGAAATATTTGAAAAAAAAATCTAAATTGTACAGGAAGGATAGATAATTCTGCCATTAACTGTGATTATTTTAATGTCCATTTTTATTTAAAGCTGTTATAAACTTGTTATTTTAAAAATATATACAATAAAAGGCTTTAGTTTGGGGCTAAAAAGGTGCCCAACCGGGTGTGGCCTTACTGCATCAGATATGTGTCACTTTTCTCACAGCTGATTGGTCCAGTTTGAGTTTTACCCCAGAATAAAACCTGCTCTGGAACAGGTTCATCTTGTAGTGTAGGTTACTGTGGTGAAGAAACCCACCTTCTCTAACCCAAAAACTCAGAGTTTGCTCAGACTAAATGTGTGATTACCTGGATGAAATCCTAAACAGGTTATGTCCAACAGGCCTCAGAAAACATCCTCCATTAAGACACACAACAAAAATTCTTGAATATCAATAGAATTATCAAGACTTTAATATATGTATTAGTCAAGACTAAACTAGTGTTCTCTGGGTGGAGATAATCTTATGCAGATCAAATGCTCACTAAAGAAAGAAAAAACTTTGCAAAACATCATATTGCAATGACACAAAAAGGTGTTCTTAAATGTCACACGTGCACTAATTGTATTTATTTCTGTATTTTTTTTTTACAGTGAGCAAATCAGAAGCTGGTGCACTGGGTGTTGAGCCCTTCTCAGTGATCGTTATAGCCGTGTTAGCAGCTGTCCTGGTCAGCTTGAGTTTTGGAGCCGAATATGGAGTTTTTGGAGGCTGTGCTGGACTGCTTTTGGGAAGCATTTTACCATTTTAAGGAAGATCCAAAACATACAATCAAAAAGATTGTATATGTAGTTGATGTCAGAATTATTATCCCCCCCTGAATTATTTGCCCCTGTTTATTTTTTCCCCAATTTCTGTTTAACTGAGAGCAGATTTTTTCAGCACATTTCTGCACATAATAGTGTTAATAACTCATCTCTAATCACTGATTTGTTTTCTCTTTTTCATGATGACAGTAAATAATATTAGACTAGATATTCTTCAAGACACTTCTATACAGCTTAAAGTGACATTAGAAGGCTTATCTAGGTTAATTAGGATAACTAGGCAGGTTAGGGTAATTAGGCAAGTTATTGTAAAACGATGGTTTGTTCTGTAGACTATAGAAAAAAAATTAGCTTTAAGGGGCTAATAATATTGTCCCTTAAATGGTGTTTAAAAAATTAAAAACTGCTCTTATTGTAGCTAAAATAAAACAAATAAAACTTTCTCCAGAAGAAAAAATATTATCAGACATGCTGTGAAAATTTCCTTGCTCTGTTTAACATCGTCTAGAAAATATTCATAAAAGAAAAGAAAAAAATTTAAAGGGGGCTAATAATTCTGACTTCAACTGTATGTATATACACACACACACACACACACACACACACATATATATATATAAAAAAGATACATATATATATATATATATATATATATATATATATATATATATATATATATATATATATATATAATGTATCTTTTTTATATATCTACATCAGGTGGGGGACAGTATTTAAAGGGACAGTGGGCTATATGCACAGCTAGCGTTTTTCAGCCAACTTTTCATGACTATTTTCAATTTCATAAGGTTTATGAAATTACAGCATTGATGTTGTAATGTAATTCAAATACAATCAGTTAAATAAACTTAAGCATCCATTTGTTGGTTAAAGTGTAAAAAGAGACAAAAGACCATACACAGGTGCTGTCATTACCTGCAGGCTACCGCAACACCTTCATTGAAAATACTGGGGTAACATTAATTTCCATATATTAAAGACATGGCATGGAAAAAATTGAATTTAATGCAGTGCTTCTTGTTTGATCTGAGACCCAAGTTACGTTGTATCTCAGCCAGGCAGTCAAGATCACTGTATTATTATTATTATTATTTTTTTTTTACAGATATCAGATGTTAAACACTAATTTTATATGGGATGACAATTCACCGTAAGCCCTGGGGCTGGCTGACTGATATGAAAAGTCTGTGTGCACATACCTTGTTCACCTCAAAAGGAACATTTACTCACCATTTATTTACCTAATGTAAACCAAACCACCCTGAGAAGCCTTTATGTACTGAATTATAGCAGTTGAATGTTATACAAAATTGTTATGTTAGATTTTGTCATTTTTGCCATTTCAATAAAATGTTTGTCTTCTTTGTGTATGGTTTTGCTAATGATTGATGAATGATAAAAGAACTCCTCCTGCAAGATCACACCACTGCTTTATGACCAGTTATAGATTATTGTTCAAAGTTCAGTCTTTTTATACGGAAACGAAAGGAACAGAAAAACAATCAACTAGCAATGTGAGGTAAGCTGAAGCAAAATATAGTCTTGATTTAAGTTTAATTTGATGTTTTTGTTCTTCTGTGTACAAAACGCTGAAGTATATTCTGTTGTTGCATTCGCTATTGTTCAGCATACAGTTTGAGCTTAAATGGGAGAGCAGGACTTTCCTCTTTTATGTCATGAATTCTTTATATACAGGCCTATACTGTTATTTATTTTTGCATGCAGATTAATGGCATGCACAAAGAAAATATCATAAATGTAGACCATATGTGAATGATAGAAAAATGGAAATATAAGTATGTAACTTCTAACTTCATTATTTAAATAGCACATTTAACTGCATGTACTTCACGTACTACACTGGGTCGCTGGTTCGAGCCTCAGCTCAGTTGGTGTTTCTGTGTGGAGTTTGCATGTTCTCTCTGCCTACGCGTGGGTTTCCTCCGGGTGCTCCGGTTTCCCACACAGTCCAAACACATGCGGTACAGGTGAATTGGGCAGGCTAAAATGTCCATAGTGTGTGTGTGGCGACCCAGTGACCTTCTTGCCGTGAGGCGACAGAACTACCTACTGCGCCACTGCTTCGCCATCATTGAACTTGAGTATCTTTAATTTCAAAATAAAGGATTTGTATGTAATAGAAATGGTAAAAATACAATTGACATGGACAGCAAAGTACAAACATTAGTTTGTTTTTAAAATCCTTCCTCCTAAAAAAAATCTTGCACAAACATAAGTGCTTCATAATGCCATGTGTGATTATAGCTAATGCTTACTAGTTTCAAAACATCAAGATAAAATGGCTGTTATTTGTACACTGTTAAAAATAACCCTAAATTAGCAGTTTTCCATATTTTGAGGTTCATGTTTTTATTTAGTTTTTCATTTATTCATGCCTTTGAATTGCATTATGGGATCTTGATCTTTCGTCCAACAACTTTTAACCTTAAAAAGTTTTTAAAAAAGTGACTTTTCTAATCATTTGTAAAAATCTGCAGTGCTATATTGTCTGTGTTGGTATTGTATATTATGCTACATACACTTTGTAATAAACCACCAGTACATTTTCTGCTATTTTACAGAGTTATTTCTCTAGATATTCTCATTTCTCATACATAATATTGTTTCACACTTCTAAATTGTCAATTAAAGTCACTTTGTTAAACAGATTGTTTTGCAGTGTAGGTGAAATCAATTCCCAAGCAGAACCCTGATGTGAAAACACCATCAAGCAACTGGACAGATTCATCATGGACAGTAAATCTCCTCAGGGTGGGTGACTTTTTCTGTTTACGTTTTCCTATACGAACCATCAAACAAATGATAATAAAAAATAATAATGTGATTCCTGTTTTTTATTTTAAAGGATCTTCCAGTGGACATTCAGAGCTCAGAATTGTGCTCGTAGACAAATACACAGAAGATGATAAGAATAAAGTGCTCAAATCCATCCTGAACTGTGAGAATCTGACAGGAGAGAGAGTTGGTTTGTGTAAGTTGTATAAGAGCGAACATGCAGGAAGGAAAATCAGTGTTGTTGAAGCACCAGGATGGCAGAGAGACTCAACACCAGACAGCATGAAGGAAGAAATGGTCAGAAGTGTCTCTTATTGTCCTCCAGGACCACACGTTCTGCTCCTGGTCATCCCTGTGAAAGCTCTCTGTGAGGAACCTTCAGCTGGGGAGATGAAAAGCGCAGAGATGCACATAGAGTTGCTGTCTGAACGCGCCTGGAAACACACTGTGGTGCTGTTTGACTGTGATGATGGACTAGAGGAGTCAGCCCTCAGAGAACACATGCGCAGTGCCGAGAAAATCCTGGAGAAGTGTGGAGGACGGTATTATGTTCTCCAGAAGAGCTGCTCTCAGATACAGGAACTCCTGAAGAAGATTGATAAGCTGCTGGAGGAGAATAAAGGAGGCGTCTTCATCCTACAACATTACTATGAACTGATTCAGAAGGAGAATGATGAACGAGAAGTCAGACAGAGACGTGGAAGTTTGTTAAAGAATCCTCCAAATTGTGAGTGTATCGTTCATAACAATTACCCACTTTAAAAAAATACTACAGTAATTTGTATTGCATAAATACTATAGTGCTTTTGAACTTGCATTAATATGTTGTGGTGATTCCATAGTTGCTATTGTAGCACAACAACTATAATAATGCAAACAAATTTTACAACTGTACAGAATTGTATACTCCAATACCCCACAGTTTACTATAGTAAGATAATAACTAAGGTATGCTAGATAATAAAGTGTACTACAGTATTTATTACAGTTTATCAGTTAATACTTCAGTATTAAGTTGTAAATACTACACATGAAAAATACTATAGTAATTTATAGTAAATACTAGAGTATTTTTGAACCATAGTATAGTAAAATGTTTGATACTATATGTACTTACTACTCTGTGTTAATGACTGCTCCTGCATACTGTAGTATTACTGTGGTGATCTGATAAAGCAATAAATACTGTAGTACACTTTAGTTTTACTACAGTAAACTATGGTGTATTGTAATATAACCTATAGTTGTAGAAAACTGCACCATTGGGTTATTTTTTATAAATACCACAGCAGATTAATTTAAGTAGTACTATACAGTAGTATGACTTAAAATACTATAGTATTTACTATTTATCCTATTTTTTAATCAGGGTGTTTTCTTTTACGCTTGAGCGTTTTTTAAACCATAGCATAGTAAAGTACTTGAATTGATCTGTTGTGATGATTCTACAGTTGCTATGGTAATACAACAACTATAGTAATTGATCTGTTGTGATGATTCTACAGTTGCTATGGTAACACAACAACTATAGTAATTGATCGGTTGTTGTGATTCTATAGTTGCTATGGTAACACAACAACTATAGTAATTGATCTGTTGTGATGATTTTACAGCTGCTATGGTAACACAACAACTATAGTAATTGATCGGTTGTGGTGATTCTATAGTTGCTATGGTAACACAACAACTATAGTAATTGATCGGTTGTGATGATTTTACAGCTGCTATGGTAACACAACAACTATAGTAATTGATCGGTTGTGGTGATTCTATAGTTGCTATGGTAACACAACAACTATAGTAATTGATCGGTTGTGATGATTTTACAGCTGCTATGGTAACACAACAACTATAGTAACTGATATGTTGTAGTTATTCAATAGTTGCTATGGTAACACAACAACTATAGTAATTGATCTGTTGTGGTGATTCTACAGTTGCTATGGTAACACAACAACTATATCAATATAAACAAATGACCCACTACTGTAGTATTTTACAACTTTAGTAGTAAAGAATAAAGTAGACTACAGTATTTATTACAGTTTATCTGCTCACTAAAATATTAATATTGCAGTAGCATTCATTACCATAAATCCTATATACAGTACAATACACCTAAAACACTATACATTACTACAGTTGTTTTCACATGAGTGTTGTTTTCTGTTACAGTGAGTCAAAATCAGGGGGATTCAGAGAAGAAAGAAACCGTAGATGCTGCCAAAAATACTCGTTTGGAAGATGTGGCCAAAATCAGCATGGACTTCAGGCAGTTTGCAGTAATATTGATGTGTGTAGTCTGCGCACTTCTGGGTTCAGTTGCTGGAGCTCAGAATGGGGTTTTGGGGTCTTTCACTGGAATAGTCTTTGGTATCATTGTTGGAGTTTTGCTTGCAAATGTCACCCTGTACATTCACACTAACTTTTATTCACGTGTTAATTCAAAACAAACCACATAAGTCTACACATACCACATCGTACGCGATGCACTTTGTTCTCCACTGATTTTTACCTTTTTTATTTATGTACTTGTAGTATATTTGTTTTGCATTTTATACACTGCAAGCAAAATAATCTTGTTTTTTCCTTTTGCATACCCCATTGGGAGATTATTTTGCTTGTTTTAAGAAAAATCTCACTTTATTTTGACATTTATTTGTAAAAACAAGACAATATTTTTGACAATTGTTTGCTTGTCTATAGAAAATGCTTCTTGATTTAAAATATTGTAGATATTTGGATTAGAAACAAGACAAAAGTTAAGTAAGAAAAGGACTTTTTGCTGTGTATACTACATTATATTTATTCATACTTTATACACTCTGTATTTCCTATTATTTATACCACATTCATCTTAAAGTGTTAGTTTTGACATGATTGCTGTGGTCATGCCACATTTATACAGCTTTAAGAAGCATCGCAAGAAATTAAAAAGTGTTTGTTTTGGATTTCTCTGTTGCTTGTGTCTATGTACTAGTAATTTATTCATTCTTTATACTTACCTGAAGTGGCCCATAACTATATTAAAGACAAGGGCCACACACGGGCTATAACCGGCCAGAATCTCAGCCAATTTATCACCCTTAACTGGCCCTAAACTGGGCCAAAACAGGTTTATTATTGGTACAGATTGTCAGCTATAAGTTTATACTTTAACCAGAAACCCCAAAAACTGAGCCATTACCCAGCCTAATGTTACCTAAACAATGCGACCAATTGCTACAATCATCTGGCCACACACCTCCCATCCACAACTGGCCCAATTGTTGTTTGCTGTCATGCATGGCCCACATTCGGCTGACATTTTGCACTGTGGCAACACGCCAGCAGTGCCGTAACGAGGCCACATTTGGGCCAAGTCCGTTTGCTATGTGGGTTGTGTAAGGTCCACCCAGTTGGCCCAATGCCGGTATCCACTGGTGGATGAAGGTTTAATGCCTGTTCGGTCTTTCCAGTGCACAATGTTGATTTATATTAAACTTAGCTCATATCTGACTCCAATTTAATATGAGGTGGTTTAGAATATTAATATATTTATCCTCGTTTTATCTGACTCCAATTATAAAACATTAAGAAGATTATATCAATATGTAATTTAGATAAATGTTTGAACCTTTTGTCTTCACTAGTAACTATTACATCCGTTCATTCGGGTGCTCATGTCGCTCAGAGAAATCGCCTCGGCCGAAGGCGTCCCTCACGGTCACACTCCGGTCAGTCTTGAATATTAAACAGAGGTAAATTGACTAATACTTTAGATGGCCCCTACCAGCGCGCTCGTTCTAAAATACTTTAGTTAGTCCCGCTTAGATGTACACCTTTGAGTTAAGACAATCATGATTTCTAATTAGAGGTTAGGGCATTAATATAAATGTACCCGACTACTGGACTCTATAGTAACTTTGGTTTTCACCAAGCCCATGGTTTCCCATATGAACTTAATTTAGAATAATATTACCTTCAAACAAAGGTCGGGTACCCAATCTAGGTTAGTCGTGCAACACCTTGTTGACCTAGACGGAAGTTATCGCCCTTTCCACCTAAGTACACATGAATCAATATCAAGAGTCAGTCGGATCCCTTAAACACAATTAGTGTGCCAATGCTCCATCTCAACTGGATTTTAGTCCGTCTACTGACCTGACACAAGACGTGCGGAAACAAGGATACAGCGTAATCTACTAGAACTAATAATTACAGAGTGAGCCAAATATGGTCAAACATTACAATTTATTAGTCAGGTAAATGTATTATGCCAATTCAATCAGTCAATTCATAAATGATCAATACAAAACATCAAATTATCAAAGATAAATCCAAGATGAAAGATGCATACCTGACTTAAAAACTATACATAACTAGGAGCAGGCTCCATGTTATGGGCTGATCTGGGTAGGCAGAATCGCGCTGAACCTTTCTCAGACCTTGCCTTAAATAATCCAAGAATTCCCTCAAGGAAGGGGGTGTGTGCATAACAAAAGGCTTTCACACTTAGTGGAAAAGTCACACCCTTCACAGTGGTTCAAAAGATGCCTGAAGTTATATATTTATTGTTTTGATTAGGTCTATTTCTGAGAGAATGAGGCCATTGTACCAATCGCACTGAGACATTTCAAATTATATCAAACATGATAGTTAAAGTCAGTTTGGTTAATCTAGAACATTCAAACATTAAATGACCATATGTGAGAGATGGGTGGATGAAGTCGAGTTTCAGCAGACTCAGATGCAAATGCAGCAGGAACTAGTTTTTCCCGCATTCCCACCTGCTGGGTTGTTAAGTCACCAGTCTCTGTTTTCAGCTCATGTTTTGAATTGTCAAAGATATCAAAATATTTGCAATATTTCAACTCTTACAGTTGTATATATCTCTGGCTCTGGATGGCCAGTCCTCCACTGCTTCTTGGTCCTGCATTTATTTCAAAGAAGCGCTACCCTGTACTAAAATGGCGGCTCTATTAACGCATACCTTCCAATAGACAACAACAGGGTAAGCGACATCTAATGTAAATATCTATGTACCAAAATAAAACAAAATTCTCTATTTTTTAAGTTTAATGTGGAACAGTTAATTTAGGATACTTATTTTATGCATTCACCCTGTAATTATTAAACCGAAAGCCACTGTATAATTGACTACTATTAAGTTTGAAGTACTTAAAAATCCACCTATCATAAAGCCTACCGTGATTATCAGTTGTATGGGCCACAGGGCGACCTCTATCGTCCGCAATTAATGTTTACAACGGAAATAGAGTAGCGCCGGAACTACGTAGAGCAAGATGGAAGCTAGTGGCGCGAAATCACGGAGCATATATGGGTGAGTTTATATATGTACAATTCAGTATTTAACTTGATTTATTCACGTCTATATACGTGTTTTACGTAATTACTTGCCAAAACTTAATCTTGAACGGTTTTAAACAGTGTTTCAAGTTGTCTTTAAGTAACGTTAATGGGTTTAGCAAATACAAAAAGACGGAGGGTGGAAATAACGTTAAACTGAGAGCTAAGTTAATCATGTCACACAACGAACAGTTTAATGCTGAAAACATCAATGTACGACATTAAGAGGCAGTAAAATAACATAATAAAGACAGACCGAGGTGAACTGTATGTTGTTTCTTATGCAGCCTTCATATCATTTATGAAATAACATGAAATAAGCTTGTTTTGGTTATTTTATGGAAAAATAATCTAGCGAAGAGTAATTAAAATATTAATAAAACACGAAATAGTGATTTGTTCATGTGGTCTATGCTTTTTTTCTTGTTATAATGCTTTATTATAGTTATATTCTTGTGTAGTCATGTGATAAGCTATATTATTTTATTTATAATGTTTCATTTACAGACTGTATTTATCTGTTACAGTACAATATTACTGTGTTTTTGACTGCTGTCACAGTTTTTCTTAAGAAATGTGTCAGTTGTAATATATTTCAGGTACATAAATTCAGACACACAAACTCATATATATATATATATATATATATATATATATATATATATATACACACACACACACACACACACACACACACACACACACACACACACACACACACACACACACACAGTCCAATGTCAGTTTGAGAATGTGTATAAATTGAGGTTGTCATCATCATTCATCATCAACATCATTATTATTCTTGTGTGTTATTAATGCAGATGTGTGTGTGTGTGTGTGTGTAGGTGAAGATGAGCAAGCGAAGGCCAGCCGCTCTCTCTGATGTCCAGTGTGTCTCTCTGGTCTGTCCTCCTTCCTCATGTTATTCCAGATGTTGTAATGTTGTGTATTGCTGATGTGTGTGTGTGTGTGTGTGTTCAGGTTCAGGAGCTCCTGCGGGAGAGATTGTGTCATCAGAAGTTGCCAGATCAGCCCATAGGCCTCGACTCACAGTACAAGTGTGTTCACTTCATTAACTATGTGTGTGTGTGTGTGTGTGTGTGTGTGTGTGTGTGTGTGTGGATCTGAACGCATAACCTGTATGTGTTTGTGTGAATGTGAATAGTTTCCCGTGTGTGTGTGGATTCCTACCCCCTGTGTGTGTGTCTTACATTGGGAATCTGTGTGTGTTTGTGTTCTTACCCTGTCTTGTGTTTGTGTGTTAACTTGAATTCTTGATTTGAGTGTGTGTATTCTAACGTATTCTTGTGTGTCGGTGGATTCCTAGTCCCTGTGTGTGTATGTGTTAACTTGAATGCTTGAAACTACGTGCATGTTTGTGTGTGTATTCTTACCCTGTCTTGTTTTTGTGTGTGATCTTGAATGCTTAATCTGAATGTGTGTATTCTAATGTATTCTTTTGTGTCGGTGGATTCTTAGTCCCTGTATGTGTGTGTGTGTGTGTGTATATTCTTTTCCTGTGTGTTTGTGTGTATTCCTGCCCTGTGTTTTTTTGTGTTTGTATATGTGTACTTAAGCAGTGTGTGTGTGTTCAGGCACCTGCTGGAGCTGCTGAGACGAACTGCTGTTCATGGAGAAAGTAACTCGGTTCTCATCGTCGGTCCTCGAGGATCTGGTAAAACTATGGTATGATTTACTGACGGCTGATAAAAGAAATCAAAAAATAAAAATTAAATGCAGATATCATCATTTACTCACCCTCATGTCTTATTAAATATCTTTATATGACACATAATAGAAGAAATGATTTAAGAAGGTTTATGCTGCAACATTCATTTGTTATACAAACCTTGAAAATGTTTACCCTAATAAAATAATGACATAATACAATTAAATAATTTATGTAGTCTTTTATTGCAGTACATAAAAATAACATGGCATTTTTGTACTTTTTTATTCATTCATCCATTTTCCTTCGGCTTAGTTCCATTATTTATCAGGGGTTGCCACAGTGGAATGAACTGCCAACTATTCCAGCATATGTTTTACACAGCTGATGCCCTTCCAGCCAAAATATATATTTATATTTACCATATACAGTCATTCTAATAATATATACAGTTGAAACCAGAAGTTTACTTACACTGTATAAAAAGGCATTAAAAAATTTACTTAAAGAGTCAGATGTTAATGTGATTAAACTTTTTCTTTTTTAGGTAAGTTAGGATGATCAAATATTCCTGTTCTGCTTAATAGCAGAATAATGAGAGCGATATTGTTTGAGAAATTGCTATAACTTTTCTTAAAAGTCAAGTTTACATACAGTAACATAATTCTGCCTCTGGAAAAGCTCAGATGATGGTGTCAAGGTTCTGGAAGTTTCTGATTGGCTAATTGACCATATTTGAGTTCATTGGAGACACAACTGTAGAATAGTATTGAAGGAAAAGCTCAAACACACTGATTCCTTGTGTACCAACATGGGAAAATCAACAAGCCAGAATCAACAACAAAGCCAGATTACAATTAGCTAAATGACACTGGGGAAAAAACTAAATTTATTGAGACATGTCCTGTGATCTGATGGAGCTAAAATTGAACCGTTTGGCCATAATGAGCAGTGTTACATCTGGAGGACAAAGAGGAAAGCTTACAAGCCTTGGATCACCATCCCTACTGTGAAGTATGGGGGCGGCAGCATCATGTGGGGCTGTTTTGCTGCAGGAGGGACTGGTACACTTCACAGCATAGTTGGCATCATGAAGACAGAACATTATGGAGAAATACTGAAGCAACATCTCAAGACATCAGCCAGGAGATTAAAACTTGGCCACAAATGGCTCTTCCAAACAGACCATGACCCTAAGCATACTGCCAAATTAGTTCAAATGTGCTTTAAGGACAACAGAGTGAATGTTTTGGAGTGGCCATCACAAAGCCCTGATGTCAATCCTATAGAAAATGTGTGGGAAGAGATGAAAAAGCTTGTGTGAGCAAGACAGCCTACAAATCTGACTCAGTTACACCAATTCTGTCAGGAGGAGTGGGGCAAATCCCCCCCCCCCCCCAAAAAAAAATTGTGAGAAGCTTGTGGAAGGAGACCCAAAACATTTAACCAAAGTTATACAGTTTAAAAGCAAAGCTAAGAAACACCAAGGCAGTGTGTGTAAACTTTTGACTGTCTAGAAATGAATAAAAAATTCTCAAAAAAAAAGTCCTCTCCTTATTCTGGCCTTTAGCAAATGTAAATGATTTAGTTAATCCTAACGGACCTAAAATAGTAAACATTTAGTGATTTACCATCAGACATAAAAAAAATGGTTATGTTCCTTTTTTAGAGTGTATGTAGACTTCTGGTTTCAACTGTATTTGACATTTATATAGTTTTTGTACTCTTCTGTAAAACATTGGCATTGTGTTGTCTGAGAAATGAATATAAATATAAAAAACAAGGCTCCTTTTTGTTATTTTATGCACAAAAATTATCTAAATGACAACAGTTTTACTTTAAGAAGAAATGTTATCAGCGGTTACAGAATAAAACAATCAGTGTGTTTTAAATCCAGATAAGCTGAGCATTTCTATGTGGCCTTTGTGTTGTGATGTTTGCTAATGTGTGTGTTGTTTGTTGTGCAGTTGTTGGGTTGTGTTCTCCGAGAGCTCATGAGTCTGAAGGAGGTGCAGAAGAATGTTCTGCTGGTGGAGCTGAACGGTGAGATCCTGCACATCATCTTAATGTGTTATACTCTGTTTTAAACATGAGCTGCGTTTGCATTCAAAGATATGCATTAGATTTATGTGCAAATATGCAATAACGCATAAAACATTACTGAATAAAGCAGCATTTACGTCTAATGAGAAACAAAAGAGCACAAAATCAGCACTTCTTGATAAACTTGCACTAATATAGCTGAGAGAAGTGTAGTTGGATCCGTTGGGATTTGCCACTGGTGTTTTTTCTCCTCTAATAAATGAGTTGTGCCCCAGAAGACGAAGATGAAGCACAATAAATGTTTTTTAAAGAATAAAATGCTTTTAATGCACACATAAGTGCAGTTAATACTTAAGAAATGGTTATGTTTAATCTTTTTTTCGCAAGCTAAAATTCATCACAGGCTTTTCTCAGCTCTTTTCTACACGTCGGATGCTCTGATTAGATCAGAAATTGGTGCATTCATGGATAAGAGACGGGGCGTGTGTGTAAGTTGTTTACTTTGAGTCTATTCAGACGTGTTCCCAAATTAGGTAGTGAAAAAATGTGTGTGTAAGTTCACACCCCCTTTTGAATAAGTAGAATTCAGTCATTAAAAGGTGAAAAGGTCATGTTGTTTTTATGTTGTTATATGATACGCTATGCTTCCATCATAAAGATATGAATTAATAATGCACACATGTGACTAATGTGCATATGGAATAACACAATAGTGAATAAATCAGTGTTTCAGTCTAATGAGAAATAAGAGAAGAAAATCCTCAGTTCCTGCTAAACTTGCACAGATATTGCTGAGAGAAGTGTAGTTTGATGTGCTGGGATTTGCTACTGTGGTGTTTCTTCTCTTATAAATGAGTTGCGCCTCAGAAAACGAAGACAAAACCAATATATAGTGAATGTGGTGGCCTTGGGAGGCGTAAGACATGAGCGCAGACAGATGCTCAAGACAGTCCTAGAGAGAATAATAATAGAAGCATCTGGCAAAAACTACATCACAGCACGCAGATTGATCGAGCACATGCACATGTGCACTATATTAGTAAAATATTGCTGGCATTTACTGGAAAACACCCGGTAGCCTGCTGTATGCTAGAGACGTTCAAATTCAACATTTGTGCTTGCAGATTTAATTAATCTTGCTGTTTTTGTTTTATTAATGTTCCTCATTCAGCTCCAATAGTTTTGTCTAATTTCACAATTAATTTTTTTCAATATTTCAATAACAAGCTGTAACAAAAATAATAAATAAAGTTAGATGTATTGTTCATTGCTTTTCTGATGCGCATAAATGAAGTTTATTCAGTACAATTTTTTCCATCATAGTTTTTTTATCTGCTAAAAAGTTTATCCTACTCAATTGTCGGCATAGGATTGTTATTCTGGTCTAATATCTTGGTGTTTCTATTATACATTTTTTATTGCAAAGTTCCAAAATGTGGTTTAAAATGGGTGCATGGAAACTCAGCATCTGGCTTTCTGAATGCAGGTCTTCTGCAGACGGATGATAAAATTGCTCTGAAAGAAATCACGCGGCAGCTGCATCTGGAGAACGTCGTAGGAGACAAAGTGTTTGTGAGTTTCAGATATTAGTATTCTGATATTGGGCAGTTCACCCAGAAATGAAAATGTACTTAATATTTACTGACCCTCAAGTAGTTCAAAACCTTTACGAGTTTCTTACTTCTGTTAAACACAAAGAAGATTGTTGGAAACCTGTAACCATTGACTGACACAGTAAGAAAAACAAATACAATTGAGGTCAATGGTTACCGGTTTCCAACATTTTCCAAAATATCTTCTTTTGTGTTCATCAGAAGAAAGGATCTCATGAAGGTTTGAAACATGTTAAAAAGTGTGCAAATGATGACAGAATTAAATTGTTAAGTGAACTAACCCTTTCATGTTTTTATACTGATGGTTTTTTTGTGTTTCAGGGCAGTTTTGCGGAAAATCTGGCTTTTCTTTTGGAGGCTCTCAAGAAAGGTGAAGCTTCAGTTGTTTTTATGTTATCTGTGTGTGTGTGTATGTATGTATATATATATATATATATATATATATATATATATATATATATACATATTTATATACATACGTGTGTGTGTGTATATATATATATATATATATATATATATATATATATATATACACACATATATATATATATATATATATATATATATATATATATATATATATATATGTATATACATGTGTATATACATGTGTATATATACATACATTTATTTATAATACTGTACTACAATTTGAATTTATTTCATTGATAATTAATAACTTATTATTTATTTATTTTTGTCCATTTAGTTGTAGTTTAGTTTAGGTTTTAATCATTTTATGTATATAATTTTAGTTTCCTATATATTTATTTACTTTTAAAGTTTTTTTTACATTATTGATATATTTTAAAGAATTTTACATTATTGATCATCATAGATATCAAACTGAAAAAGCATATCTATATAATGTAATATTAAAAAAAGCATAATCTTTAATAAATGATGAAGTTATTATCATGTAATATGTTTTTGATGTTTGTTTATGCTTATGTTTTGATTCTACCGTTAGTTTTTGTATTTCTTTATATTTATTTACTTCAAATAAGTTTTAATAATATAATTTATTTTATCTGAAAAATGTAATGTAAAATTAAAACATTTTATTTATTTAATATTAACATTTTTGTATCATCTCTTACTGAAAATATAATAATCTAGTCATGAAATAAGCCATAAGGTGCTGATGTGACAATAAATAAACCAAAAAACAAAAGTACTTTTAATTTGCGGTTCTAATCTTATTGCTTATTTAATGCTTCATGCAACACGTCTAGTTTTAGTCTAGTTTGTTGTGCACCATTTGATTTTGTCATATTAAAAAGGCTCCCACTTTATATCAAGTGGCCTTAACCACTACTTGCATTAGAAAATAAATACAGTGTACTTACTGTTCATAATGTTTTGCAGAACACTTGTGGTGCTCTTAGGGTGGGATACAGGTCAGGTTAGGGACAGGTTTGGTGGTATGGGTAGGTTTAAGGGTGATGCATTTATTTTTAAGCTTTATTGTGCTGTGTTGTCAGGTGATAAGAGCAGTAGTCGTCCTGTGCTCTTCTTGCTGGATGAGTTTGATCTGTTTGCTCATCATAAGAACCAGACGCTGCTCTACAATCTGCTGGACGTTTCTCAGTCTGCGCAGACGCCTGTGGCTGTGGTCGGACTCACCTGCAGACTGGTGCGGCTTCATACAAAACAGCCAGCAGACATCTTCGATGATGTAATGATGTCTGTTTATGTCATTAGTCTTCATGCAGTGTTTTTCATTGTGTGTGTGTGTGTGTGTGTGTGTGTGTGTTGTAGGATGTGCTGGAGCTGCTGGAGAAGCGGGTGAAGTCTCGATTCTCTCACAGACAGATTCATCTCTTCAGTTCTCTCTCCTTCAGTCAGTATGTGGATGTGGTTCGACTGCAGCTCAGTTTGCCTCAGGATTTCCCAGATCACAGGTTCTCCAGCCAGTGGAACCAGAGCGTCACGGTACACACAGATTCTTGTATACATGACGTACAGGGACTCTCCATAGGCATAATGCATTTTAATGATCTTATTCTTGACGTACTGGCGGGTCCAGCTTTTGTCTTGAGACTTCTGCTCTCATTCACTTCCATTTGATTTTTAGACGTTAAAAATGGCTCATTTGTGCTGCCGTTTATTATTATTACCGTTTATTATTACAAGTCATTTCTCCCATAGAAAACAGGTCGGGATTTCTAAACAAATTGCAAAAACAAGCAAAGCTCTACACATTGAAGAATAAGGTCAATACAGTGAAAAACACTTATATTCATTTATTTATTGCATCCTACCCCGACCCGATCCATAAACCCATCCCTCACAGAAAACCTGTGGCAACATTTACATTAAAAAACCTGCTTAAGGATGATTTTGTAAGCTGATTTTATATGGTTTTTGTAAAGTAATATTCTATAAAACACCACAACCAAGTCATACACATGTAATTTCATAACTTTGTGTCCCCGGAAACCACTTAAACCTGCAAACACAAACACTCACAGACATACTTGAATGCATGGCTTACAGTAGGGATGCCTAAACTCAGTCCTGGAGTGCCGGTGTCCTGCATATTTTAGTTTTAACCTCAATTAAACACGCCTGAACCAGCTAATCAGGCTAGTTCTAGGTATTAAAACTTACCAACAGGTAGTGGTGGGCAAAGCGAGGCTTCGTGAAACACTGAAACAGTCGAAGCAAATGTGTCGAAGCTTCGAAATGTTTCGAAACACTACTCTAGAGTGACACCTAGAGGTCATTTTTTTAATGTATTGCACTGAAACAGCTTCAGAAAAGAACAGTTGAGCAAATTGAGGCATTAAACCACACTTTGCATGCGTCAGCCTTCAAGTAATATGGTGGAGTGGTTAAGGTGCGTGACTACCATGCAGGGATAGTGTGTTGGACTCCAGGCTGATGTTGTTTTGACATGCTTTAATACCAGTTGGTTATGCTTTGCTCTTGTATAGTTTTGTTTCAACATTGGTCTGATATCCGAATATGTCTTGTTTTGGTCTTAAAACAGGGATCTAATGCTAGATCAGAAACTGTGGCCTGAAGTTATCAAGAACTATTTATATTATTCATTACATTTCCCATTTATTGTATTTTATTAATGCCTACCCAAACCCTAAACCCAACCATCCATCACAGCACTGTAAAATTATTAATTATAGTTTTACAGTGTTACAAAAATGATGCTATATTGAGGGCGTAACTGCAGCTGTATCCTATTTAGGCTACACAAAACAGAAACATGATTAAAATACATGAAACCATGATTTCAGAGTATTTGTACAAGTCGGGATTCGAACCCAAAACGTAATTCGAAGCACAGTATCAGCGTGCACACGTACAGTCCACTAGGCCATATGAGATGGGAATTGTTTGACCTTGGCAGCTAAATGAAGATTCGCCAGGTCTCGAAACGCTTTTAAGCAGATCCATGCTTTGAATCGCTTTAGTCACGTGACCAGGTGTTTCGAAACACTTTAGTCACGTGACTTGGGTGCTTCGGATCATGCTTCGGTGCAGTGTTTCAAAACACTTGCGCTTCGGGATCTCAACACTGTCGAAACGTCAGTTTCACGTCAGCTGTCCCTACCAACAGGCGTGTTAAAGTAAGTTGGAGCTAAACTATGCAGTACACTGGCCCTCCAGGACAGAGTCTGGACACCCCTGGTTTACAGGGACTGTCCATAGGCATAATGTACTTTATACAGTAAAAACCACTTATATTTATTGATTTTGTTCTGCCCCACTCCAATCTCTAAACCCAACTCTCACAGAAAACTCGTGGGAAAGGTTTTACATTAATAAAAATAGTACGGTATAATTTTGGTAAAGTAGTATTCCGTAAACCTCTACAACGAAGTCAAACACGTCATTGTACAACCTTGTGTCCCTGTAGACCACTTAAACATGCACACACAGGTCTGCTCTTCTGCTCACAGACACTCACTCATGTTTGCCGTCTCTTGTTCTCTGTGTTTCTAGAAACTGTGTGAAGATAAATCCGTTCTGGAGGTTTTAAAGAGAAGCTTCAACTCCAGTAAAGATTTCCGCTCTCTGTATTCGCTGCTGGTACGCTCAAATTCACTATTTGTTTTGATGATAAGTCTGTTGTCAAGAGTTCTTGCATGTTCTTTAATATCTTCTATAGCGCATCTTATTTAATTCTTTATAACAGGGCTTCCCAAACTTTTTTATTTCTGGGACCCACCTAGGCAAGTAATTCAATCTCAAGACCCACCATGATATTTTGTTATGGAAAAATTATTATCGAAAAAAAATTTCTCCATTCAAAGCAGTCAAAAATATATGGTGTGTGGCTTTTTGTGATTTGATATGCACAAAATGAGGCTGGAAGGGCTTTTTGTGGGATGCTGACTGTAACTCTGATCATTTTTTGTTGAAAAAGATCCTCTTATTTTTTTTTCAGAAGAGAATATGATCAACCTTTGATCAAGCCCCTGGATTATGATCAAGCCCCGTCACATCGCTGTAAACTCTACTGCTGGTGTAGTCATAAGAAACTAAATCGCTTTTTGATCGACTACTACAAACTGGGAAAACGTCAGATAAATATGCCAATGCAGTTAACGTTATCGCTGAATAGATCTAACATTTACACATTTGCTTGAGGAAGGAATGATGGGGGTAGTTACATTACTATTACTATTTTCCATAACATCTACGCCCTTCCATAACATTAGCATTAACAGATGGCACTATAGCTATTTATTGATTAGCAATCAACGTTGGGATGTAAAAAATATGGGATAACAAATAGCTTTAAATGATAGAATACATAGCAAACATTAGAACATATTGACAATAAAATAAAAGGTTTAGCATATTAAAATCAATGGCCTATCCAGAAATTAAATAAAGCTATAAAATTTATTGCACTTTTAATTGTATTTGCATATTGATTAAAGTTACTGTAGTTATTTAGTGAAGAGCAGCTAGTGAATCTCTCATTGTGTTTTGTTTGATAACAGAGATGTTCATGTGAGAATGCACAGATCTATAATGAAGCATTCGACTACTTTAATAACTGTTTGTGCTCATTTAAGAGAAAATTAGTAGTGTTTAAAATAAAACACGCAGGACGAAGCAAAAAAAAGAAAAAGCACTTTTCTGACGGTCCCTTACTGAGAGCTCCGCTCAGTGCGAGTTCTACCGGCTAAACGCAGATAGCGAAAGCTCAAACGGAGCAGTGCTCGTTATGTCGAGCGAAAAAAAAGAAAAAGACAGCTGTGAAACACAACCAGCTTTGTCGTTTTGTAGGAAACACACTTTAGATATTTTTAGGGTAAGAGGTTTTTGAGTTATTGCCGTCAACCGTACTGGTTTTGATTCACCCCATTGTAAATATAGCTGCAACTATGTGACGTTGCGCGACCCACCTTTGTTCACTGTGCGACCCACAGTTTGAAAACCCCTGCATTATAACATGAGGATTTCACTGAATATATTCGCCATTAGTTTTAATACTGGTTTTGTATAAAGTGACAGTTTTGGACATGCAATATTATAAAAAAATATCAAGTAAAGCATATTGTGTCATCATGATAAGCGCATAAGTTCTCTTTGAACTGTTGATGATTTCAGCTCATCTATTTAATCTTAAGGCGGATTTTTACTTCTGCATCAAACACACTGACGCACACCTCTCAAAATGTAACTATGTTGCAACGACATGCAGCACAAGCTCTGTGATTGGTCGGCTTGGTAGCTGTGACGTGTGTGGGCGGGGCCGAGTGCAAACCCGATGGAGTGAGTGTTTACAAGTGTCGAGTCCCCTGAAGGAGCTCCAGATGGTGACTTTTGTTTTGTGTTTAGCTACTTGCACATTAAGAAAAAAAGAAAACACCAGCGAAGAAACTCGACACAGAGGAACATAAACACCTCACTGCCAACTAGTGTTTCAGATAAGTTATTGCAGAGCAAGACAAACAGTGCAGAAGTATAAATGCACGGCTATGCGCAAGGCAGGCACTGTGTCAAGCTGATCACTCCACGCAGAAGTATAAACCATTGTGTTTTGCATTTTATGAAGGGATGTTTTGGCCGCCTAAATAATGTATTATTTAAAATAAAAAGAAAATCGCGAATAATGAAAATAAAACGTTAACCATTAGCATTTTTATTCTTAAAAGTAGCCATGCAGAAAATGCCAGATCTGTTTTTCTCTATTCCTGCAGTGTTTTCAGCTCCTTCTTTAACTCGTGTTTGTGTGCTGTAGTTTATGGCTGTGAGTCGTGTGTCCGTCTCTCACTCTACTCTGTGTGAAGCTGATTTTCTTGAGTCCGGCCGCCTGATTTCTGCCGATTCCAAAGCAAACGTCCTCCATGGTGAGAAGAACCTGCGTTTTCTCTACAGCTTCATGATCAGGATTTTCACTTGTTGTTTTCATGACGTTTACCACAGGATCTGCAGTGATGCGTGCATTTGATTTGATTTGATTTGATTTTGCAGGTCTGTCTATTCTGGAGCTGTGTTTGATTATTGCCATGAAGCATCTGAATGACACCTATGATGGAGAACCCTTCAACTTCCAGATGGTCCACAACGGTAGCAAATCCCCAAACTAAAAGCTGCCTCTCCGACATTATTTTAGTGTATTTTAGTTTTTGGCAAATTTTTACTTCTGAAAAAAAGAAAATAATTTAATTTAGTCTTTAAAACCTCTCCTGAGCAGTTTATTCTGACATGAAATGCGCAGGACGCTGCCAGAATAGGATGCATTTTTATTATTATTATTATTATTATTATTATTTAATCTGTTTGGCTCAAGCTGTTCATTTGTCCATAAGCCAGAAATACTGTATATTTTTAAATCTGTAAATATCAAAATATTTAAAGTATTTTAATGTTTTTTTAAGCATTTTAATATTTTAGGTAAGCAGTTTTCGAGGCTGAAAAAAAACAATCTCCTTTTTATTGATTATATGAAGACATTTTTATTAATGTCCTAATTTATATTTCAAGAATAATCTGTTGCCATAAGAATGCATTAATAATTAATTTTTTTTTTTACTTTAAATGCACTTAAAAACACGTACTATCCTTTTTTTGATGCTCAATATGCATAAGGCATTTTCTCTGTGTTTACAGTATATTCATCTATAATATATTTATTTTCCTCAGAGTTTAAGAAGTTCATTCAGAGGAAATCTCACTCCATCCATAAGTTTGAGAAGCCCGTGGTGATGAAGGTCAGTTTAATGCATGAATAGTAGAACTACTGTGCTGCCCTCTAATGGTGAAACAGAGATATTACAGCGGTTTGTTTGGTTAAAGGGACAGTTCCCCCAAGACTGATTATTTTATCACTTATTCATTCTTGATTCATCCTTTCACTAATCTGTTTGAGTTTCGTTCTTCTGTTGAACACAAGATATAATATTTAGAAAAAATATCAGCTGTTTAAGCAACAATTAGTAACAATCAAATGTTCCTCATCACATTTAAAGGGACAGTTCACCCAAAAATAAAAGTTCATTCTTTATTTACTCGCCCTCAAGTGTTTCCAAACCCTAATGAGTTTTGTTTTACTGTTAAACACAAAAGAAGATAGTTTGAAAAATGTTAGAAAACCCTAAGTATTATGACTTCCATAGTAGGAGAAACAAACACTTGGATGTCAGTGGTTACAGGTTTGCAGCATTTCTCAAAATATCTTCTTGCACAAGCAGGTGTGTGATTAATGAGAGTGAATGATGACAGAATGTTTAGTTTTGAGTGAATGTCCCTTTAAGCATTTTGCAATTCAGTGTGTTCAGTGAATTACACATATGTTGTCTATTATTCAAGTTTAAGCAAAATTAATAGGTAATGCTTAAAATGTACCTTCTGGAATGTTTTTATATAAATATATATGGCGTTTGCACAAATGTGTTTATATACAGTGTGCATATATACAGTCTAAATTATTAGCCATTCTGTGTTATTATTTTTTTTCTCTTTTCAGATATTTTGCAAATGATGTTTTCATATATAGTGTGTGCTCTATATAATGTAGTCAGTAATATATATGGTGTGTGTGTTCAGGCGTTCGAGCACCTGCTGCAGCTGGAGTTGGTTCGTCCGGTGGACTCTGGAGTCTGTAAAGTCCAGCGCGAGTATCAGCTGATGCGGCTGATGCTGGAGCACGGGCAGGTGATGGAGGCGCTGCAGAGGTACCCACAATGCCCCACTGACGTCAAACAGTGGGCGCTCTCCGCCTTCGCATGACACTCACACTTTGGACATTTCCTTGTCTGTGTATAGGTTTGTTTGCAATAAAATAATTTGGTAATAATGCTCATTTGTTTTTTGTTTTCTCAAAAATCTCCTTAAGATATGCAATAGATTTGCAAGATTATTATTTTTAATTAACTAAAATTAATTGTAATTCATAGTGGAAAAATAGAATGGGTTATATGCAGAGTGTTTGTGTTTCTTCAACAAACTAGAGACCCACTTTACATTGGATATCAATCAGACGGAGAGTGTTTCTCTAAAAAAAAAAACAGACCTTAAACGTGTGTTCAACGGCATACTGTTCACCGGAAACGCTTTAACTGGATTACTGCATATTAAAAGTCCCTCCGCTTATAATCCATTGCAAAAAATACAAGGTCATTAAATAACGTGCATAATAAGAATATTAGATTTTTTTCCCCAAAATATTATGATTTGTATTTAATATTTTTCAAATATTCATGTTATGCGTGTTTTAACCTCTTAAAGTCAAGTGCGATTTTAGGGTTTCCGCCTGGATTTTGCCTACTCAAATTCAAAAGCTTCCCAAATCCACATGCAAAGTAAATGCAAAGGTTTGGTATCATTTTAAAGAAAACCATTAGAATTTAATAAAACACTATTGAAAGAAATTAAAATAATTGTTCATGTTGTCTGTTTTATTATAAACCGCTCCAAAAAAAAGGCTTTTTTTATGTGAACACAAATGTGAAAGTGTAGCTTTGAGGTTGTGTGTGGTCTCGGTGGTTCCTGCACATGTCAGTAATATGCCAGTACGCCCCTTTAAAATTGAAAGAATGCAGAGTAAATGGCATCTTGAACCCAGTAGCGGGTACACAGACTTTAAATGACCTTTAATTTTTTTTGCAATTCAGTTCTTTTCACTATGAAATGCACAATTCATTTGACTTTTTCTCAGAGTTACAAGTATTTGTAATAGGCTGTTGTGAAAAGAAAAACTATTGACATTTTTCATGGAGTGTAAATAATAATAATACTATAATCTTACAAATGTTTTCCTTTACAATACTCCACTGATGTCAAACTCGGCCTAAACACTGACGCCTGCAGGCAAGAACTACATTTAATTGTGTGTGTGTGTGTGTGTGTGTGTGTGTGTGTGTGTATACAGTTTTAGTTTCCTTTTGTTTGCAATTTTAAAAATACATATTTGGTAATATTGCATCTTAAGGATGCAATAGATAAAAAAGTGATTTTATTTTTATTTGGATTTAATTAAATTATTAAGAATTTAAATATTAAATTATTATTTATTAAATCAATTATTTAATGTCAGTTGGTATAGATAAAAAAAAAGCTTAAAGCTTTTATTAGTCATTTTATCAGGGGATTTTTTTCCCCATCTGGTTAGCTTTTAATTAATTAAAAGTAAAATTAAAATCATGTAAAGTAAAGCTGCGGTCACACTGGGATTCTCTCCCCATAGACTTCCATTCATTCGCACGCGAATGCGTCAGACCAGAAACACAGGGTTATGCGTCTAGTTTCGCAGGTTGCTGCGGTGCAAAGCTCAAGCTTGGTGATTTCTGACCTGCGAAATCGCATCACTTGACTGCGTGAGACCAACCGAGAATCAAAACATGACCTCTCTGGACAGAAATTTAAAACATGGAGCAATCGCTCGCTTTTAATGCCTAATAATCCTGTTTATTCCCACACCTTTTTGCAGCTCCACACGACAGGATTTCGCATACACAAACTCTAGTGTGAACGCAGCTCAATAAACCAAGGATAACGTCAATCACAGAGCTTATAATTTATGGCTTACATTTTAATGCTAAACCATTTTATAGTGGCATAACTATGTTAATCATCTGACAAAGCATTTAATTTACATGTTTGCATTATTTAATGTAGTTTCGTATTTTCGTTTATTGATGGAACTGTAACGGTCAGACTTTATAATAAGGTTTCGTTAATGTTAGTTACTAACATGAGCTAATTATGAACAGTACATGCGCAGCATTTATTAATCATAGTTCAACATTTACTAATGCATTACTAAAATCCAAACTCGTGCTTGTTTACATTAGTGAATGCACTGAGAGTTAACATAACCAACTGTGTTTTCATTAAATAACTTGAACAAATGCTGTAATAAATGTATTGTTTAAAGATGCATGAACTAATGTAACCTTATTGTACAGTGTTACCAATGCATTCATCACAAACAGTTCAGATTTATCAGGATGACGTCTTATTTAATGCGAGTTGTTTGTCCACTTGAGTGCACTTTTATAGTCCTGTATTTTTTTTTTTATGATCTTGTGTTGCAGTTTTAATTTTTTTTCTGTGAAAGTAACATTAATGCATCCCCAGAATGTTTAAAGATAAGGCTAAATAGGCTCGGTGTTCATCTAAAAGTGGTGTTGATAACTCATTCACTAACAAAGAGTGTAAAAAAGCGTCTTTATATTTAGAAAAAAAAACACACACAATCACATGCATAATCAATCAGCGATTCTGGGTCTGCAATAGACAAGGTGTACAAAATACCCAGCAATACAATCGTCTGGAATAATTTCTTTATAAAGTACTGTTGTTTTTGATTAGTGACACTGAAAAGAAGAGAGCAACGTCATGCTAGTCTAATCATTTAAAACCCACAATCATATTTACATTATTGATGTCCTGTACATGTGTGTGTGTGTGTGTGTGTGTTTTTACAGATGGATGTGAAATGTCTAACACATTCAGGGCGATAATAATAATCATAATAATAACCGGCGTTTGTTTTCACAGTACTGAGAGTTTGTCACATTATTCATGAAATAAATAAAGCGCTTCATATGCTACAGTTGCAAATGCTGTATGCTGTGGTTTGCATAATCGCGGTAGTGAGCAAAGAATCCTGCGTCCCTGAATACTGCTGTAGTGTTTCACAAAGACATGAAGAGCAAGATGGAGAAGGGAGAGCGAGTATTATGCAGATCTACACACCTCCAACTGAAGATTAATCAACATATCACTCAGATTTAAAGGGGTCATGAAGCGCACCAGCTTGGTTTTATGTTTGGTATTTCTCTGATCTTCATTAATGCTATCAAGAACTTTACATTAACAAAAAACCTGTTTATTTAGATGCAATTGTCCATTTCCTGTGTTGTTTTTAAGCACTGTCATCTGAACGCTCTGTTTGAGTGGGTGTGGCCAATTGTCATAAAAGTAAACGCCTACTGCTCTGATTGGCACTTACCACTTAAAGGGGTCATATACTACCTGAGTTTGTTTTTTAAATTTGGTATTTCTCTGATCATTTATGTCAAATAAATTTACATTAAAACTGTTTATTTACAATTATTATCTATTTTCTGTGCTGTTTTTGAGGCTCATTGTCAGACCGCTCTGTTTGAGTGGGCGTGGCTGATTGTAGACACCAAGGTAAACGCCCACTATTCTGATTGCCAGCCACTACTTAAAGGAGTCATACACTATCTCAGCTTTTTTTTGTAAAGTTTATATTTCTCTGATCTTCATTAATGTTATCAGTAACTTTATATTTTAAAAACGGTTTATTTTAAAGTATTTGTCTTTTCGCTAGGCTGCTTTTAAGCCTCATAATCATAACGCTGAGTGGGTGTGGCCAATTGTAGACTAAAGTAAATGCCCAATTTACCACTTAAAGGGGTCATGATCAAACTTTTTTATTTTATTTGTATTTCTCTTGATCTTCATTTATGTTATCAAGAACATTACATATAAAACAAAACAACTGTTTATTTAGTAGTATTTATCGATTTTCTGTGCGGTTTTTGAGGCTCATTATCTTACTTCTCTGTTTGAGTGGGTTTGGCTGATTGTAGACACTAAGGTAAACACCCATTGTTCTGATTGGCACTTTACACTTAAAGGTGTCGTATAGTACCTCAGCTTTTAATTCAACATTTCTCTGAGCTCCATTTGTCATCAAGAATTTTACATTAAAAACATTTTACTTGGATTTATTTGTCTATTTTCTGTGCTGTTTTTGAGCCTCATCAGAACGCTCTGTTTGAGTGGGCGTGGCCAATTCTAAAATTAAACGTAAACGCCCACTGGTCTGATTAGCAGTTCCCGCATAAAAGGCGTCATGAACTAATTATTGTTTTCTTCTTATCTACATTAATGACATTTATATATAAAAACTTTTTATTCAGAAGTACTTGTCTGTTTTTGAGCCTCATTTTCAAAATGCTCTTTTTTAGTGGGCGTGGCTGATTGTAGATTAAAGTAAACGCCCACTGCTCTTAAAGGGGTCATAATTTACTGTTTTTTTTTATATTTCTCTGATCTCCATTAATGTTATTAAGAACTTTACTCGTAAAAAAACTTTATTGTCAAGTATTTGTCTATTTTCTGTGCTGTTTTTGACTGTTTTTATCAGAACGCTGTTCTAGTGGGCGTGGCCGATACTAGACTTAAAAGTAAACACCCACTGCTCTGATCGGTACTTACCACTTAAAGGGGTCATGAACTACCTCAGCCTTTTTTTTTGGTATTTCTCTGATCTTCATTAATTTTATCAGAAACTTTAAATGGTTTATTTAGAAGTATTTGTCTTTTCGCTAGGCTGTTTTTAAGCCTCATAATCATAACGCTCTGAGTGGATATGGCCACTTGTAGACTAAAGTAAATGCCAAATTTACCACTTAAAGGGGTCATGATCAAACTTTTTTTTTTTTTTTTTAAATGTGTATTTCTCTTGATCTTTATTCATGTTATCAAGAACTTTACAAATAAAAAAAACTGTTTATTTACAATTATTTGTCTATTTTCTGTGCTGTTTTTGAGGCTCATTATCAGAACGCTCTGTTTGAGTGGGCGTGGCTGATTGTAGACGTAAAAGTAAACGCCCACTGGTCCGATTGGCTGACAGTTTTGCATATTAACGGCTAAAATAGCATCGCAATATAAGTGGGTGTCAATCATTTGTGGGGGCGGGGCTCATCCACCCTATTACATCATAGAGTAGAACATTTCTTTAAAGTCTAAATGAACTGGAAGCTGTGATATTTTGCTGCTCATTTTTGTATTGTGACACAGTTCCTAGAGAAATGGAATTTTAAATGAGCAAACAGTGGGCGTGGCTTGTTTTTTCTACCATGGGCTGTATGGATGTAGTAAAGTAGGCATTTCATTTAGAAAGATCGGGGAAAGAAAGATGAACTGTTAACCACAAAACTGGCAATCTGAGCTAACAAAATCATATGGTAAGTTTGGATTTCTTGGGAGACTTTAATATAAGCTGGTTTTAGAGGAACCTCTATATATATATATATATATATATATATACATAAAATTAAATATTAATTCATATATTTAAATAGTATGAGCTGAAATGATGAAGGGAATTTTGCTTTCCGAGTTCATGACACCTTTAAAATGTTACTGATAGTGTTTTCTGCAGCTAAACTCGTTTGTGTTGAGTCGCGTTAGCTTTGTTTGCTTCCAAAAGTGCAGAATGCGATTTATATTAATAGTTAATACATTATGAATAATGGGAAGGGGGTGCAAACGGTCAGCAATAACAAAAAAAAGAACGTTTCTGCAGCTTTCCTCCATAATAAACGAATAAACTGCATTTCAGAAGCACTAAAGCAATGGCAGATGCTGTGATTGAGCATCAGCAGAGCCACATTCTCATCACTTTTAGTTGCACATCAAAGAATTCATGTAGCATAATCTGTGCATGAGTCGTGTTGAGGCTTTGATTGTGATGTATTTTATGCAATATCCTAAAATCCACATGTGGCCCCGGAGCACAAAACCAGTTTTAAGTGGCACGGGTGTATTGTTTTTGGCCAAAATACATAGTACCGGTCAAAATTATTGATTTGTATTTTGACAAAAGTCAAAAGGATTTTGAGTAAAGATCATACTCCATTTATTAAACGTTTTACCATATATTACAGCTTAACTGATCAATAATAGGCATTCTTAAAAACTTTATTTACTCTAAACGTGATTTATTTTTTGAACTTTCAGGTTTTCAAATAATTGCATCCAGTGCTTAATTTGTAAATGAATAATTCTCGGAACAAATACAGGAATATAAGGTCACTGTGACCGACGTCCTCCAAACACTTTGAGTTTTCCCGGAACATGACATCATTAAACGGTGACAGCGCAAAAAAAAAAAAAAGCATCACATTTCTGATGCATGTCAATTCACATGTCTTCAATTATTTTGTGCCATATAACATTATAGGTCAGTCATGGATAATACAAACATGCAGCTACAAACATAAATGGTTTGAACAATTGCTATTCAGTTCACTATTATGTGCCAAGTGAAACACAAATAATGAAATGAGCTCTTCTGTCATGGTTTCTGGCTGAACTGAGAGAGTTTTGCTTCTGTCTCCTGCTGTCCTGATCTATCCGTTCAGTTTCATCTTCACCTGATCTCTTTGGTCTGATTTATTTATGGTTTTAAAAAAATGAAATGCATGACTGCCTCTTTGCCATTTTAAAAATACAGATATTATTTATGTAGACCACTATGTTAGTATTTATTTTCGCTGCTCACTGCGCATGAAACAACAATCACCAACCAATAAGAGGGATTGTAAACAAATGAAAGCTGATTGGCTGAAAATATTGGCAATAGTTGTGCTTTAACTTGCGTATCGTGACTACCGTCATACATGTATGAGCGCACACACACACAATCCGCACAGCCTTCTCTCTCTCACACACACACACACACACACACACACACATGCAGTAGGTGTTCACCACGCAAAAGTTAATGCCGGATCCATTAAAAAATAAATAACGAAACGCAAAATACAAATATCTGGCCTTCATCCAGAACAAGATCCTCCTCAAATTAAGCACTGGTTGCATCTCAACCAAATATTGGTCAATCCTAACAAGCAAACCTCATTGGAAAGCTAAACAAATCAGCTGTTCATCAACGTATAATCCTTTAAAAAATAACAATAATAATAAAATGAAAGACTGGTTTTGTGGTCCAGGGTCACGTGTTGCACCATAATGGATGAATACACACATCTGCATAGAATAGTTGAGGTCCAGATTGAATCTTGTTGGTATCATCTTCAGCAGCGGTGTCCACACTCAGTCCTGGAGGGCCGGTGTCCTGAAGAGTTTAGCTCCAACCCTAATCAAACACACCTGAAGCAGCTAATCAAGCTCTTTCTAGATGCACTAGAAACCTCAGTGCAGGTGTGTTGAAACAAACTGGAGCTAACCTCAGCAGGACACCGCTGATCCGCAGCATAGGTCTCAATTCCTGGAGGGCCGCAGCTCCAACCCTATCAAACACATCTGATCCAAATAATGGAGGTGTTCAAAAGAGTCATGAACAGCTTGAGAAGTCAGATCAGCTGTGTGTGATCAGGGTTGGAGCAACATTGCAGAGCTGCGGCCCTCCAGGAATTGAGTTTGAGACCCTGCAGGCTCTGAGGAACAGCACAGGCAAACTCACTCACTCAAACACACTCATTCACACACACACACACACACACACACACACACTCCAAGATTTCTGCTGGTGCTTAGTGTTTGACATCATGAGCGTCCCACATCTTCTGAATAAGCGTTCTGAGCGTGTCCACCTGAAGTGCAGAGTAGATGATGAGGATGCAGTTTCTACCAGCGCATCCCTAAGACAGGCAGAAGCTGATGTTGGACCCTGGTGTGTGTGTGTGTGTGTGTGTGTATAGCAAGCTTTGATTCCTCATGATTGACCCCTTCAGGAGACTCTGATGATGATGAAATGTGAAGGCAGAAACACTACGGTGTGTGTGTTACAGCTGCTCTCCTCCACAGCGGCTGCTCAAAGAATAAAAGCAGGATAAATCAAAATGAGGTATATACCTGTTGAGGGAGGTCTATGGTTATTTCAGCATATCTCCTCCAGACTCCGTGTGTGATTTGCAGCAGACATTCACAAGTGTCTCGTGTTGGCGTGACTGTAATGATTCGCAGAAGCCAACAAGCGAACGCAGTCCTTGCCCTTTTGTACATATGCTAAAATCACTGCGGTTATAAAACACAAGTCTTTTCCTTTATGCATAAGAGACGGCGTCCACGCTGAGTTCCTTCTCCTCGTTTTTGGACAGCGGTTCTGTTTCGAGTTTGTTTGTTTTCCTGTGTTGGGATTGGCCGAGAGCAGCAGCATCATCATAGGCTGGACTCTTTAGGCGGGAAGTCCAGGTTGGTTACCATCGTGACGACGGAGAGGATGTCGTCAGGGCTGATGATGCTGGTGCTGCGCTGCATGGAGATGATTCGCTCCTCCACACATCCGGCAGAGAGACGCGCCTCCGCCTCGTGATCCCAGCATTCCTCCATCGTCTCGCAGAGCAGAGACAGACCCTGCAGCGCACGGTTGAAGTCAAAATTATTTGTAATATATTAATTTATTTTAAGTATTTTCCAAATGATGCTGAACAGATTCAGGAAATGTTCACAGTATTTCCTACAATATTTTTTCTTCTGGAGAAAATTATATTTGTTTTATTTAGGCTAGAATAAAAGCAGTTTTTAATTTTTAAAAGCATTTTAAGGTCAATATTATTAACCCCCTAAAGCAATATTAGTTTTGGATTGTCTCCAGAACAAACCACTGTTATACAATGACTTGCCTAATTACCCTAACTTTACCCTAATTACCCTAATGAAGCCTTTACATGTCACTTTAAGCTGAATACTAGTGTCTAGTTTAATATTATGTGCTGTCATCATGGCAGAGAGAAAAGAAATCAGTTATTAGAAATGAGTTACAGTGTGTGTGTGTGTGTGTGTTTATGTACCGTGTGTTTGAGCCAGTGTTCTCTGAATATTGGTCGCAGTTTCTTGTGTACTACGACATCCTGCATGTCCTCCAGAGACGGATGAAGACCAGCCTCCTCCTCAAACGGCAGACAGAACTCATCTACTGGGCCTGTCACACGGTCATAAAATAGTGTACGTTATATATATATATATATATTTATATATATAGATGGATGGATGGATGGACAGACGGATATAGACGTAGACATAGAGATGGATGGATAGATAGACAGATTGACAGACAAAATGTTAGAACAATATACAGAACTATAGAACAATACAGACAGATGGATTAAAGGACAGACAGATATAGATAGACAGACAGACAGAAGATGATAGGTGGATGGATGGATAGATAAACAAACAAAAATATAGATGGATGGATGGATGGATGGATAAACAAAAATATAGATAGATGATAGAGAGATAGATAGATAGATAGATAGATAGATAGATAGATAGATAGATAGATAGATAGATAGATAGATAGATAGATAGACAGACAGACAGACAGACAGAAAGAGAGATAGATAGATAGATAGATAGATAGATAGATAGATAGATAGATAGATAGATAGATAGATAGATAGATAGATAGATAGATAGATAGATAGATAGATAGACAGAGAGAGAGATAGAGAGATAGATAGATAGATAGATAGATAGATAGATAGATAGATAGATAGATAGATAGATAGAACGATAGATAGATAGAACGATAGATAGATAGAACGATAGAACGATAGATAGATAGATAGATAGATAGATAGATAGATAGACAGAGAGATAGATAGATAGATAGATAGATAGATAGATAGATAGATAGACAGAGAGAGAGATAGAGAGATAGATAGATAGATAGATAGATAGATAGATAGATAGATAGATAGATAGATAGATAGATCGATAGATAGATAGATCGATAGATAGATAGATCGATAGATCGATAGATAGATAGATAGATAGATAGATAGACAGAGAGAGAGATAGATAGATAGATAGATAGATAGATAGATAGATAGATAGATAGATAGATAGATAGATAGATAGATAGATAGATAGATAGATAGATAGACAGACAGAGAGAGAGATAGATAGATAGATAGATAGATAGATAGATAGATAGATAGATAGATAGATAGATAGATAGATAGATAGATAGATAGATAGATAGATAGACAGAGAGAGAGATAGATAGATAGATAGATAGATAGATAGATAGATAGATAGATAGATAGATAGATAGATAGATAGATAGATAGATAGATAGATAGATAGATAGATAGATAGATAGACAGAGAGAGAGATAGATAGATAGATAGATAGATAGATAGATAGATAGATAGATAGATAGATAGATAGATAGACAGAGAGATAGATAGATAGATAGATAGATAGATAGATAGATAGATAGATAGATAGATAGATAGATAGATAGATAGATAGATAGATAGATAGATAGACAGACAGACAGACAGACAGACAGACAGACAGACAGACAGACAGATAGATAGATAGATAGATAGATAGATAGATAGATAGATAGATAGATAGATAGATAGATAGATAGATAGATAGATAGATAGATAGATAGATAGATAGATAGATAGATAGATAGATAGATAGACAGACAGACAGATAGATAGATAGATAGATAGATAGATAGATAGATAGATAGATAGATAGATAGATAGATAGATAGATAGACAGAGAGATAGATAGATGGATGGATACAAACTACATACATACATGACCCTGCACTCACAACCATTTTACAAACTAACAATCATTAAACACAATATTTACACACACATGATCATTCGCATCACACACACACACACACACACATAATTTTACACTTACATATGATAATTTTACATAGACAATCATTTTAAGCTTGCTTGCATTGCATCGAGTTCTCTCTCTCTCTCTCTCTCTTACCGTCAGCCGCTGTGCAGCGTGTGGCCAGCTCCCACAGCACCAGACCGGCCGCGTACATGTCGATTCTCAGAAAAGCGTCCCGCTGGAAACTGATCGCTCCTTCCAGCACCTCTGGAGCCATGTAGCGCCGCGTGCCAACCTGCACACACACACACACACACACACAAAAGACACATCATTGCATTAATGGTTGCAAGTATACATAAATAAAAGTTAATAAATATTTCCCATGTGAAAGAGAATTTAGATTTATAGATTTTACTATTATATGATGGCTCATGACAAGAGCCAGACAGAATCTGCGGACAGTTTTAGAATTGTGTAAAAAAATCTGTGGATTTATGTGAAATAATGTTGGCAGTATCGTAACTAAAAACTCGATTTATGAAATACAATATAATACTTTTAAACTTTTACTGAAATGTTTACAATGCAAATCCATCCACATTCACTTATTTGGTAAACAAAGCAACTCTCTTACATAATAATACATCTATTAAAAGACAGAACATATCAGTGCACACACTGTATTGTAAATTAATTATATGTGTGCATACGTTTATATGTGTATCTGGCCATGTATGTGTGTGCATTTATGTAGGCGTGTGTGTTTGTGTATCTCTGTGTGTATATATGCCTGCGTGTGTGCATATCTCTCTATATATATGCATGCATGCATATGTGTTTTCATATCAGTCAATTATATTACTAAATTTAATTTAAAAATTGAATAAATATAAATTTACACACATTTACAGAAGTAAATAAATAGACTATTATTGGCTAAAGATCTGCAGATTTCTGCGTGGGTCTACTCATAGCAATAACGATAAACATAATAGTTTTAATAGCTACTAGCTAGCTGTTTTCCTATTTTGCAAGATACTAGTGTTCAGCTTATATCATAACTTTAAGGCTTAATTAGGAAAGTATAGGCAAGTCACGGGACATTTTTTTTCTGTAGCCAATATTAAAAAAAAACTGTTAAGGGAGCTAATAATATTAACATTAAAGAATTTATTTATCTTTTTCATTAAAAAGTGCAGTTATTACATCCAAACGAAAAGAAAATAGACTTTCTCCTAAGTAAAAAAATATAGAAAATAGTAAGAACACGTCCTTGGTCTGTAAAAAAATATTTGGAAAGTAATAAGAATTTAAAAAATTCACAGGAGGGCTAATAATTATAAATATATTACAAGAGTTCACACTTAGCTGATGATTGATTATGAAGCTTGTTTGGCATGCTGTCCCGGGAGAGAGCCCTGAGCTCATAAGATCCTCGAGCCCGGGGCTCCCTCCCATTTGCAAGGTGAGAGGGGAGTTTGAGCTAAGGTAGATCTGGAGAACTCCCCTGCTGTGATGAACAGATAGTGATCGCTCTTAAGAGATAACTACTGACTAGGAGCATGTCTATGGTGCTGATTTGGATTAGTCAATTAACTTAAGCTGCATGTTTTTGGACGGTGGGAGGAAACACGGGGAGAATGTGTAAACTCGGCTGGCTTGGTAAGGACTAGAACCAGTCATGTTCTTGCTGTGAGGCAACAGTGCTAATCACTGGGCCACCGTGCTACCCATCTAGAAAAGGTGCAGGAGTAGGGGTGGAAGGGGGGATTCTTCAAAATGAAGATGCTGTGATATGGACCTTAAGGTATTTGTAGTGGTTAAGGAATTGTCTGATTGGTCAATCATGAATTGAATAATGCAGGACCAATTGCAAGCAATCATTAGCACGTGATCCTTTCGACATTAGCCTATAAATAAACTTTACTAAAATTGATAAAAAATAAAAAGTGATTTGTTTATTCATTCATTTTCTTTTCGGCTTAGTCCGTTTATTAATCTGGGGTCGCCACAGCGGAATGAACCGCCTAAAAATGATTTATTCAAACCTTTTTAATAGGTGAAGTTAAATAGGATGAATTCTGGTGTCATTCATGCACAGTACTTTGACTGCATACATCACAGAAACTCTGAACAGAACTTCACTCCTGTGTTTCTGCAGATGTAAATGTGGTATTTACCTGTCCGTGTGTGTCACCTGTTGATTTTCCTGCTTCAAACTTGAGCGCCAGGCCAAAGTCAGCGATGCAGGCGGTTAGATCACTCTTCAGCAGCACATTCTTACTCTTGATGTCTCTGAGGAAGATCATTTACATATTCATTAATAATAAATAACAACAAACTGAACAATGAGAATATATATTTGTGTGTGTGTGTGTGTGTGTATATATATATATATATATATATATATATATATATATATATTTATATATTTATATATTTGTGTATATGTATTTGTGTGTATATATTTGTGTATACACACACACATATATACACATATATACACACATATATATATATATATATTTTACAGGAGGGTGAATAACTTGTCATCATACATACATTACATCAGAGTTCATAATAGATATCAATGCTATAAACGTCTGTCAAATGCGAGGATGATGATGACGTTTCAGGTGTTACCTGTGTGCTATAGCAGGCTTGTGTCCATCCTTCAGGTTGGGAATGTCCTCGTGTAAATAAGCCAAACCGCGCACAAACGTCTGCGCGATCAGACACAGCTCATTCCACGACAACACATTCGCCTTCAGGAAATCTGTCAGTGAACCCTGAACACAGACACACACATATCAGCACATTCTCTAGAATATGTGATCGCGTATGTAAGTGTTCATTAATGTGTGTGTTTGTGCAAGTGTACACACTCAAACATACATGTGTGCATATATATGCATATGTGTGTGTGTGTGTGTGGATAATATCTCTTTTTACATATGCATATATGCGTGTTTATGCATGTGTGTGCTTGTGCATGTATGCGTGCAAGCTTGTATTTATACATATATATATATATATATATATATATATATATATATAAGAGTGTGTGTGCATATCTGTTTATATAAAAATATGTGTGAGTGTGTGTGTGTGGACATGTGTATGCATTGATGCGCATGTGTATATATGAAAGTTATGTGTGTGTGCATATAAGCGTGTATCTATGTTTGTGTGTTTGTGCATGTGTGTTTATATCTGTGTGTGTACCTTCTCATGGTAGGTTGTGATCAGCCACAGCTCTATGTCAACTCCATTTCCACGTTTTTCTGCTCCGATGAAGTGAAGGAGGTTTTCATGTTTCATTCCGCTCGCATTATAAATCTCATATTCATTCTGCCAGGACTGCTTATTCTGAGAACAAACACACACGCATTTAGAGAAACCCTGATGCACACGCATTAAAGGCTGCATTAATACAGACAACAATCAAAGTTTTGGGTCACCAAAAAATATATATAATAATGTAAATGATGCAATAATTATAATAATAAAGCAATAACTTTATATGAAATAACTTTGCACAAACAAAACTTACAACTTACCTTTTTTACTTTGCAAAGGGTAAATAAATAGACATGCATTGAAATGACACACAATATTAATTGTTAATTAAAATAAGTTAAATCAATTGATAATAACAAAATTGATCATTATTAATATTCTTATTTTTGTTAAAATATTAAGATACAGGCAAATATTAATGCTATTATAATGGCTGACATTCTCATTCGTTGGAAATAGTAAAAGAATCAAGTCTGCAATCTAAAAGTTTGGAATAAATGCATTATTTAGAATTGAATGTGCAACCATGCCTTTATTTAATGAAATAATTTGTATTAATAACAAAATATTTGTTTTTATAATGATTATTATTAGTATTTTTTTTTATTTTTGGGTGAATTACTCCTTTCTGATATCACTTTCCCCAATTCACATGTTGCTGACTATAGATTACAGTGCAGCTACATGCATATTAATTCTCATTATAATATTAGCAGACTATCTGTTTAATATCAGCTGCCGCTGCTCCACTAGCGTTCTCTGACTATAAGAAACTTTGCGAGTGCATGTCAACTTACACTAACACTCACCTTACAGTCTACTCATATTCTAATGAGAATTAGCTGACATGTAGCTGCGATGTAACTTAAAGGGACGGTTCACCCAAACAATAAATTTACTCCGTTTACTGACCCTCAATTAGTTCCAAACCTTTATGAGTTCCTTTATTCTCTTGAACACAAAAGATGACATTTAGAAGAAAGCTGGAAACCTGTAACCATTGACTTCAATAGAATAAAACACATATTCTATGATAGTCAATGGTTACTGGTCTTCAGCTTTCTTCTAAATATCTTCTTTTGTGCTTAATAGAAGACAGAAACTCAAATAGTGAGTAAATGATGACAGAATGAACATTTTTGGGTGAACTATGACATTAATATCAACAGAATGTGTTAAAGGGACCATTAAAATAAAGCGATAAGGACCCTTTTCACATGATGCGTTTAAAAGAAAAATCATAATCCTAAATTCTTGAAAGTTTTTAATATTTTAATCTGTAAAGAATGCATGAGCATTTATTCATGTATGTATTATATCATGTTTGCATCAAACTACCAACAACAAAAAAAGATTGCTTAAGTGAGGTGTGTATAATGCTGTGTGTATGGGAGCAGGAGAGTAAAAATGAGTGACACTATTAATACTAAACCAGGTTAATTCAACAAGATAGCATAATTAATAACGGTTAGTTCTTTAGACAATCAAATGAAATATTGCTTAAGGGGGGGTAATAATTCTGACCCTAAAATGGGTTTAAAAGCATTAAAAACAGTTTTTATTTTAGCTGATATAAAACAAGTAAGATCTTCTCCAGAAAAAAATATAGGAAATACTATGAAAATGTATCTATATAATTATATTTATATATAAAATGAAAAGTAACTAGTAACTATTTACTTGAGTGATTTCTTTATCAGACACTTTTTTACTCTTAACTTTTAAGATTGTAACTTTTACTCGAGTAAGGATTTCCACAAGTACCTGCACTTTTACTTGAGTATAGATTTTGGATACTCTACGCACCTCTGCATGCTATTTATTTCCTTCTTCTGAAATTCTTGATAACACTATCATGGATTTTTTCTTTTATTAATTCAGCAAACAGGATTGTAATTAAATGATTTGTTGTACTCTCCCATTCACTGCGCTCTAAGTTTACCAACTATGACGACTTGCACTACCGAGAAACCCAGAAATGTCAAAAGGCTCCATCGACTTTAACTTCAACACAAGCATGAGCTGTTCACTGACCTGGACAGGGAAGATCTTGACCGCCACGGCTTCACTGAGCAGCTGAGCTTTCCACACGCAGCCGAAGCGTCCTCTGGCCTTCAGCTCCAGCAGCTGCAGAGGCTTCTGACCCAGCAGAGGAGACGGAGGAGTCAGACCTGGATCCTGAACACAGAACATATATATTTTTTATTAATTAATGAATCACTATTTATTTTTAAGTTGTGTTTTTTACTTATTAGTATACTTAATTAACTTATTTGTTGTTGTAGCATAAGGACTATTGACCGTATACAGTTGAAGTCAGAATTATTAGCCCCCTTTCAACTTCATTTTCTTTTTAATATTTCCCAAATGATGTTGAACAGATTCAGGAAATGTTCACAGTATGTCTGATAATATTTTTTCTTCTGGAGAAAGTCTTATTTGTTTTATTTCGGCAAGAATAAAAGCAGCTTTTAATTTTTTAATCACCGTTTAAGGGTCAAAACTATTAAAAATTAACAGGGGGTTAAAAATTCAGACTTTAACTGTATGTGCATGTTTTATTATGATCAATCCTTTATATTTTTTTTATTCTTAGTCTTGTATGTGTATGTATATATGTATCAAGTGAATACTTGCTCCTTTTTGCTGCCATTTATTTCTTATATAAAGTATATTTTATTAATTTGATGGTTTGAGTATATGACATATTTTATGCATAACTAAAATGCTTTAGCAATACTGTAGAGAGAGAGAGATATTCATTTGATCAGGAGATGTTCTCTCTCTCTCTCTCCTCCTGACCTTTATATCAACTCTCTTCCACAGTTCAACTCAGCTCAGCTTTTAATTATGAAGCACTTTCAAAAGCATCAGAATGTACTAAAGTGCTGTCTGCGAGTAATACAAATAGCATTCATTATAAACAAAATAATCCCAACAAACAAACATTCAACCAATCAGACCGCAAAAAGCTTGGTCAGATAAATAGGTTTTCAAGCTCTTTAAAAACAATAATGACCAGATCTGATAGATAACGGTAAACTACTGCAGCAAAGCCATCATGATGTCTCAATGGAGAACATGCGACAGACAAAAACATATTTTGAGATGACAACAAGGCTGGTAACAGATCAACATATCTTTAATATATTGGAGAGACACTAGCTCCTTTCACACATACAGACTTTTCCGGAAATTTGCTGGCAATTTTCAGGAAGGTTGTATGTGTGAACAGGTCCTTTTTGAAAATACCGGTAAATTCGTTCTGGCTATTTTCCGGAAGGAGAAGTTGTAACATTACCGGTAATTTGCCGGAATGCTGCGTTGTGTGAATGCAGAAGGGAGATTGCCGTAATAAGCGCGTGCACGTCTAGAACGTGCTGACATGAGACGTCTGCTTTAGCCAATCACAACAGTCAGACGCATTCACGTCCGCACGGTTTGTGAGGATAAAAGCCTTTGAATATTTTTCCAGACACATTTAGCTGCTAGAAGTTAGTCAGATCACATTTATATGTTCTTCTTAATGCCAGCTGTGTAAATAATCATCGATGAGATGCTTATGATAAGCCGTTGTTTGTTTACCTTCAAGCTTTGCGTGTGCCTGTGAAACAGCCTGTGAGCGCCTGCACACGCACATAATATGAACATCTCGACATGCGAAAGTGATCCTGCGAAAGGATATTGATCACAATATTGATCATCCACAGAGTTTGTAATTTAGTCAAATGTTTACAAACACAAGCGCAGCCGTTTAAAGCTCATTTGTGGTGAATGATGGCAGAATTTACCGGTATTTTGGAATGGATGTGTGAATGCTCTTTTCCGGAAAATTTCCGTAACGTCCTCGCCTGTGTGAACAGCGCTTTTTTGAATATACCGGTAAAGTCGTTCCGGAAATTTTCCAGATATTTACTGGTATCACTGTGTGAAAGGGGCTACTGTGAAATGCTTCTTTTAGATAAACATTAACAGACTTTACTATAAAAGATCTGGCTGTCATATTAGACAGCAATTTAACTTTTGAAAATCATTCATCCCATGTCACGAAAACATCTGAGAAATATCACTAAGTTACACAGTATGCTACCATCTCAGATGCAGAAAAGCTAGTCCATGCTTTTATGAGCTCTAGGCTGGATTACTGTAATGCTCTGTTTGCTGGCTGCCCAACATCCTCTATTGACAAACTTCAGCTAGTACAAAATGCAGCTGCCAGAGTTCTTACCAGGTCTAGAAAATAAGATCATATCACCCTAATTTTATCTTCCTTACACTGGCTGCCTGTTAAGTTTCGTATTGATTATAAAATATTGCTTCTTACCTATAAAGCTTTAAATAATCTAGCTCCTGTTTATCTAACCAACCTTCTGTCTCGCAACAATCCAACTCGCTCTTTAGGATCTCAAAACTCAGGGCTTCTGGTAGTACCTAGAATAGCAAAGTCCACTAAAGGAGGTCGAGCCTTCTCATTTATGGCTCCTAAACTCTGGAATAGCCTTCCTGATAATGTCCAAGGCTTAGACACACTCTCGCATTTCAAAACTAGATTAAAGACCTATCTGTTTAGTAAAGCATACACTCAATGCGACACTTAGCGGTATGATACATGAATGTGCTCCTCGAGGGTTTCTGCATCTTGTTTATATACACTAAGAACAGCAGCTATGCTAGTTATTCTCTTTATTCTCTATTTCCACCTGGCGATACTCATCCTGAGGCCCTCAGACTATGCAGAGTCACTGATTCAATCCCAAGACCAGCGACGAGATGATCCCAAGCCTTCCATAATCCTGGACCAGGCCGTATCCTGAGCAGCTACTGTGGTGGTCATGGAGGAGTGGAGAGCATGAGACTGATTCCTGGGACGCTCCAGGGACAGATGAGTCTTGCTGACGTCCAGCTTCTCCAGCCCCTAGACTGCAGGTCTGCACAAGACGTTTGGCCAGAGGAGAAATGGTCGTGCACATCTGAGCCTGGTTTCTCTCACGGTTTTTTATTTCTTCACTTTTGCCAATTGGTGAAGTTTTTTCCTTGTCGCTGTCACCACTGCATCGATGGCTTTGCTCTTCAGTGTTTGGACTCTCAGTAGTGATTATTAAACCACACTGAACTGAACTTAAACACTAAAAACTGAACTACTCTATTTCAATTCACCATGATCTTTTAAGTAAAGCTGCTTTGACACAATCTACATTGTAAAAGTGCTATACAAATAAAGCTGAATTGAATTGTATTTGTTATTGTTTACCGGTAAAATATAAATGTCAAATCCAAACACAACAGCTTATTCACTCTAAACGCAAAAGCATTTTGCTTCTAATGGTGTTGTACATTGTTTAACATTGATATTGCTTTGTTATATGAGGATACTGTGTGTCAGGCAAGAACATTCGTTCATTCATTAGTTTTCTTTTCGGCTTAATCCTTTTAATAATCAGGGGTCACCACAGCGGAATGAACCGGCAACTTATCCAGCATATGTTTTGAATATATGGCCTTCTAGCTGCAACCCATCACTGGGAAACATACACACTCATACACTACGAACAATTTTAGCTTACCCAATTCACCTACAGCTCAAGTGTTTGAACTGTGGGGGAGCACCCGGAGGAAACCCACGCCAACACATGGAGAACATGCGAACTCCACACAGAAATGCCAACTGACCCAGCCGAGGCTCGAACCAGTGACCTTCCTGCTTAGGCGATGGTGTTTCCCACTGCACCACCGTAACGCCCCCAGGCAAGAACAAATATATATAAAATGACTATTATTTCTGTTTTTGCTGTAAGTACTATTTACTATTCTGACCCAGACTCTTCTGAGGAGTCGGATATGGATCCTTAATCTATTATTAATGTAAAATAAACTAAAAAGCTTAAATGTACAGTAATGGGGAACATTTGATTGTTGCTAGTTGCTGTTTAGACTATTGTTAACATTTTATAAATTAGACATGAAATAAATCTCCAATTCAAAATAAACCTGCAATTCAACACACTCTCTCACACTCACACACACACACACACACACACACACACACACACACACACACACACACACACACACACACACACACACACACACACAGTCTGATGCAGGAGAACTCAAAAATCAATCCATGCGAGGCAGAATCAGATAAAGAAAGAAAATATGGAGGAGGAGGAGTACTATGGCAGCATGGCATGATGGGATACCGAGTGAGCGGATGAAGCTCTTACCTCTACCATGATATGAAAGGCGTGCTAGCAAAAGAGGAAGAAAGGCATTTTACTGTTTCTACACACAAGCGCTGCAATGTGAGAGAAGCTGGAGAATGTGAGAACAACACTGATGTGCATCTGTGAGAATGTGATGGGTTAATGAGACATGGAAAACACACACACACACGCACGCACGCACACACACACACTTATTCCACAGCTCTCTGAAACTATACCAGAGTTTGCAACATACACATGATCTGCCCTTGTTGATCTGAATGAGGTTAGGAATTTGCTTTACACGCTCATTTTACACGTGCACTTGTGTGTGTACAGTATGTGTGTGAACGAATGCATGCATGTATGTGAGTATAAATGTACTGTGTGTGTGTTTTATATACTATATATCGTGAAAATGCACTACTTTCAGTATTATGCATTTTTAAAAACAATTTCATGAAACTACCTGCATTTAAGTGGGTATAAACATGATATTAAGATAGAATAAAATTCTTATTTTGGTTTGAAGACAGAGGGTCGGTTCTTTATTTTGATATATAATATTGTCATGTCTTCAAGGCCAAAAATATTCTGAGGGTTGTTAAATTTAGGTGAAATGTGATAAAAAAATACTGCTAGTGAGAGGCTAAATAAATAAATAAATAAATAAATAAAAAATAAATAAATAAATAAATAAATAAATATATATATATATATAATTTAAAAATAAAAATGAATAAATAATAAAAATAAACAAATAAAAATTTACAAATAAATAAAAATAAATTCTTTTTAAAATATAAATAAATTAATAAAAAATAAAAATAAATTCATTATAAAAATAGACAAATAAATAAAATAAATGAAAATACAAAATAAAAAACAAATAAATAAATAAAAAAATAATTTATAAAAAATATATTTTTTAAATATATAAAATAAAGTAAATATTTTTTTTATAAATAAATATAAATAAAAAATAAACTAATAATAAATAAATAAAATAATCAAAATCAAATAAACAAACAAATAAATAAATAAGTAAATAAATAAATAAAGTTTTTTCTAATCAACATTTTGGAAACTGATATTTGCTTTTCAGTTTTAGAAAATATAAATTTAATAAATATAATTTGTATGCACTTAAATTCACAGAATCTAATTAAAACAAACATGAAAAGGGACATCTGAATCATTAGGCCTAGTTCACAAACTTTAATGTGCAA